AATTTAAAATTATAAAATTGATCGATCCGCCGCGCTCGAATCAAATGCTGTTACCCGTCTAATTGAAAATTAATTCGTGTCTCTTCGATCTCTATATGCGAGTGCGATGTATATAATTCCTCGTAATGGGAATTTAATTGAGAATCGATGACCAGAAGCGACGAGATACATTTGAATGTATCGTTAAGAAAATGAAGGATATTTCGTAAGATCGATTGGGATGGTATTTTAGATAGGTTTCTAGAATAGATAATACACAAGATAAGAGTTTCCTCACTCTTGTTATTTATGCGAATAACTCGACGCTTCTTCGACCCGTTGCCTTATAACTTAATATATATCACGTGACAAAGGACAAAAACGATTTAAAATTCGCATCTTTGTCAACTTCAACACACATACTTTCACCATACTTTCGTAAATAATAAACGTAAAAAGAAAAAAATGTTTTTTTCTTTTTTCTTTTTTCAAAGAGCAAAGCAACTCGCGATATCGGCACAATTTCGAAAATGCGTGTAAGTTTCGAGTTAATGATAAGTCTTTTTTTTTTTTTTCTCGCGAAACACGAGGATCGTGGCACGCCAATAAAAGCTTGAAAAATTCTCTCTCGTTGCGCTAATAATAATCCTGTTAATCGCCGTCTAACCAGCCGCCGTAATTATCCGACGGAAAGAAAAAAAAAAAAGAAGCAGACACGGGGACATGTGGAAATAAAAATAAACTTGGCTCAACTTCGCCGAGTTCAACGACAATTAACTGTGGTTTCGCAACATGGCGCGCCAGGCCAAACAGTCAGAATCATAGAGATCGTAGATCGATTCGCTTCGAGAAGTGGTCGTATCGCGAATGTTGCTAACCTTGTAATTCTCGCCATTTGCACGAAACCGACCATTTGCTAAACTAGGAACCGTTTCCGATCTAGAATCGGAATTAAGCGTTTTCCAAGCGATGCTTTTCCCCAAACAAAACGAAAAGTACGAAAAACCGAAACGTGTTCCGTATTTGTTAATTGGTATAATTGGTTTAATTTCTTTCTTTCTTCGTATGAAAAAAAAATTGTCGCAAGTTTCTTCTGATTTTCGAGAAAAAAGTGTGAGAACGATACATCACAGGTTAGGTTAAGTTTCTCGATCGATCGTGATTTTACCGACTGTCATAGAAACCTGTGCGAATCGATAGCCAAGAGTCTTCGATTATTATTGCTTCCATCCACGATCGCTAGACGGAGGCACCTTTGTTACCCTTTTGCTAACCCTTCGCTCGCATTTCTTCCTCTACGATTTTTCCAATCCCACGTGGAGAATACATCGTGGTGTGATACTGATCGAATCAGAGAATCATTGTACACTGAAAAAAAAAAGAAAAAAAAAGAAAATTTCGCAAGCTATTTTAGAATTAATTCGACAATTTCGAAACTACGATTTTACCGGTTGTTTTTTGTCCAATACGAATTTTTCTAGAATATATATATATATATACATTTATATATCATATTTAAAATGTCACAGATGCAATAGCTATCGATGACCCACAAAGCAACAGCTAACCGATCGAACCAAGAACGAAAGTTGAAATAGCGTTAAATGTGAACCGTGCAACATACAACATTGATAAAATTCTATGGCAACCAGTTTTTCCCATAATCCTCTCACTTTTTTCTTTTTTGTGCAATTTTGAACGGTTATATTTCATAGCGTTTACGACTCGAGTAAAGTGCAGTTCAGTTTATACTACCGTGCCAGATAATTCTTTTTATCTCTTTTAATGATAAATTAACCGATTATTTGAAACATGGAAAATGGCGTTCGATCGAGCTGAATTTTTTCTCGTCGCCTCTACCTTCCTTCTACCTTTTTCTCTTATTCCGACGAAAAAAGTAAGATTATCGATATCGAAATCCGGAGCCCGCTTTCTTTTTCCGTGGATTAGAATCTCGTATCGATCGAACGTTAAAAAAAAAAAAAAAAATAACAGGAAATAATAATAATAATAATAATAATAATAATAATAAAAACGGCACAGACGAATGTGTCTCTACCTAACGGAGACTAGATGGATCTAGAGCGATAGAAAGTGGCTTCGTTCCAATTTTTTTTTTTTTTTTTTTTTTCCTCTCTGACCCGTGCTGACGATTGCCCAAGCGTGTCCGTTAAAAAATATTATTAAATTATTAAACCGTTTAATAGATATATCTTTAACAGGATGATTCACGTGAAAGCCGCCGAGCTAACTCACTCGTTGTTGTTATGTCGTTTGCCCGTATACAATTATTAATATATCTATTGTTATTATCTAGAAGGGAAAACAACGGTATCGTTGTTACCTCGTTCTCGAATTCTTTATCGCGTTTTGTTTTTCGCGTTTTCGCGATGTGGTAATCGTGAATTTTTATGCAACTAATAAAAAATACGAATTATTAATTATTTCAGTTTCGTAATATCCTAGAATAGAATATAAAGTGAAAGGTATTTGGTTTCCTTCGTACTTTGACCGCACGACATGGCGAAAGAGGTCGAAAACACGAAATTTTCTGCAAGGAATCTATTAAACGTCACGTCATTTTCTACGTCAATCTATGCGTACAAATTTTTCTTTTAGGATCCAGTAGATCCTTGGTGAAACTTTGTGTCGAATCGATATAAAAAAAAAAAAAAAGAAAAAAATAATCGGTCAACCGTGTTACATTACGTTTACATAGAATGGAAAATACGTGGAGAAGTTTTGCAAATTAATCGCGTCGTAATTGATCCAGAACGGGAAAAAAAAATAATTTGTTTCAATTTTATTAATAAATAACCTTTAATCCTGTTGGAAAGGAAATGTATCTGCGATATAAAAAAAAAGACAGAAAGAAAAAAAATATAATAATATAAATACTGCATACGAAACAAGAAAAATTAGAATTTCAACGAAGAATTCAAATTCAACACGAAACGTTATTGTTGGAAAACGTCAACATCGCATGAAAAATTACAAACGACGAATATAAATTATTCCATATTGAATAATTTTGCTTAGATATTCATTGTTCGATCTTTTTTTCGTGTCCATGTTATGTTTGTAAGAAAGAATGATTGAAAAAAGAATTCTTTACACTTCATTCACGAATACTCATCGATTGTCAATTGAGGAGGGAAGAGAAAAAAAGAAAAAAAGGAAAAAGAAAAAGAAAAAATCGATTTACGACGACTCGAGCCGATGTCGTTGCATAAACAAGAATGAATTCTTTTCTTGATTCGCGCTTCTTTCTAATCAAGGGAGGAATGGAATCGGCGATGTCGAGGTAATTGTAATTCTATCGAGCAACGACCTTGAAAGGATCAGCACCGTAAAAGGTGTTCACTCGACATCTGGTGCGACGGTATGGCGCGATAAAACCGCTTAAGGCCGGTCAGTAAACCGATTTAACGGTGCTTCGCGATACATTACGAAATTTACGAATATACGTAATCCGATCGAGTATCATATCGTGTACAGTTATCTCTCTTTCTCTCTCTCTCTCTCTTTCTCTGTTTAGAAAATCGATTAGTTTCAACGGTTCGTGAATTTTTATTAATCGTTTATAACGTTATTTGTAAATTGTTTGCAATTTTGTTTTGAGTGGAATAAATACCGTTTGAGTATTTTAATTTCTATGATAAAACGATGATTTTATAGCGAATCTTTATATTATACGAACGTTGATACGTTAACAATACATTAATGTCAACAATAATCTCGTTCTTACGAGTTTATTTTCTATACGAGTCAGTTCGATCATTGAAATTTAATGGTTACTTTTATTACAAAAGATACGATTAAGATCGGCAGATGTAGATTTGATGTAGATGTGTGGTCACATTACGTGTTATAAATAGTAAGAAATAGTAGGTCAATGCAAACCGAGCAAAATTTTAAAAACAACTTTTGTGCCGATTACAGATCGACGAACGTAGGAATAGGAACCAGAATGGTAACTTTCTCAGAAGTGTGGGAGCGCGTCGAACTTGTCCTTGCTTTGTTTCTTCTATCGCGAACTTAATAAACCGATCCAGGGTTTATTCACCTAAACAACTCGTCGCTTCTTCTCTCTCATCCGCGATCACGAATTTATCGAATAATTGATCGCTCGAAACAAAATCTTGCTTCTTCCACGATTTTTCGATTCTTCCGATTCGAAACAGATTCTCTGGAAAATCTGTCGAGAGAAGAAGAGAGTAAAAAAGGCATATTCTTTCCATATTAGACGGCCCCCCCTCCCCTCGAATTGCGAAAATCTGTCGTCGGCTGCATTTTGCACGATCACGAATTTATCGAATAATTGATCGCTCGAAACAAAAACAAAATTTTGCTTCTTCCACGATCTTTCGATTCGAAACAGATTCTCTGGAGAATCTGTCGAGAGAAGAAGAGAATAAAAAAGATACGAGGCATACTCTTTCTTTGGACGATTAGTAAATTCGTGCCGATTTCTAGATTAGACGGCCCCCCTCCCCTCGAATTGCGAAAGCCTGTCGTCGGCTGCGTTTCGCATGCACCGCGCCTCCTATTAGAAATCGCACCCCCATAATTGCGAATGCAACGGCGGAAGTGAGCGTGCTCGTCGCTGCTCGGTGCACTGTCATTAGGCACTGCCAATATCCCGACCGGCGCACGGGAAAAATACACGCTTCGTACGCGGTCGCAGGAAAGGGGGAGGAAGAAAAAAGGAAGAGAAAAGAAGGAAGAGAAGAGATAATAAAAAGGGGGGCCGATCGATCGGCTGGCTATAAAGCAACCATTTTTTCGATACGTGCGATCGAAGTTTTCGCGTCGCGATTCGTTTCAATTCCTCTTTTTTTCCTCGATGTCGGTTGCCATACACGTACAGCCGTCGACTTTTTCGCGAATAGACAGATAGATCCTGATGATCTATTTGAAAATGACGCGTCGACGAGTTTCGCGCGGACTCGATTGAGCGTCGTCGTCGAGCGGAAGATATATCAATATAATTGATCGAATAATTCGAGCCGAGATCCAGAATGTTCCTGTTATCCAGAATAGTGTCGAGGTTCTATCCGTTGCTCCTGTTCGTAGGGGCGAATCTGGTGATCTCGATGCCCGCTCCGTCCTCGAGGCGATCGTCCGAGCTAGCCTCGGATGACGTGGCTGGGGGGGGCGAAGGGTTCTCCAACGTGCCGAAAATTCTGGAGATTCAGTTACCTTTGAGGATCGCGACGAAGGAGGATCTGGTCGCGTGGGCCAGGTACGTGATGGGTTTGATGGCGTCCCGCATAAACATCACTCTGACCACGGTGAAAGAGTCGCCCTCGAGAATTGCAGGGAGAGCGGAGAAAATCGCGAAACAGTATCCGGTTAAAAATACGGCGTATCGATACTTGGAAGGCGGTGGATCCGATGGCGGCCGACATTTCGTAAAGAGTTTCGAGAACACGAGATACGCGGAGAACGTGAGAAACGTTGGACGCGTGACGAGCGTCGATCGGGACAAGATACCTGCGGCTGTCAGGATCGCGACAGAGAACGTCGACGGACACGTCGAAAACTCGGTGCAGAACGGAGACGTTCAATCGTCGAGAGAGAGGGTGTACTCCACTTCCCGGTTGCCAACCATAGCCATGCTGGATGGAGCGATTGGCAAGGGTTCGTTCAACGATCGACGACTTTTCCAACCGATTTTCGCCATCTCGGATAGTACGATTCCAAGCCCTCTCCACGTAAATATCCCCAAGCCTGGAATCGGCAAGGATCCAGACTCGAACGACTCGTTCGACACGAATTTTTTGAAAACGGGAGATCGGCAATTGTTCGTCCCACAATTTCCCAACTTTGGGCCGGCCATCGAGCTGAAACCCAACGGCATCTTTCCAGATACGAGCGCCGTCTCGCCCCCTACCAGGGCTTATCTACCCGTGGCCACGACCACCGTCACCGCCGACAACGTCGAGTTTCCCAACGATCCGTTCGTGGCTAGATACCTGTACGACGGTGTCGGGAGGAACGTTTCGAGCAACGTCCTTCCGGAGACAGTCACTCCGCTCTTCACGACGGACCAGATTACCTCCTCCCCGCCAACGAGAAACCTCCCCCTCGTCCCATCTCGAAACAGGAACACGAGCTCGGCAACGCCTCTGTTCAAGGCGGTTCCGTTCGAGGCGGTGATCACGTTCACGCGCGACGAGCCTTACCATATCCGGGGGAGGAACGAGGGTGGCGAGTATTCCGCCGTGTCGACCCCCAAGGATCCTCCTCCCAGGGATCGATTTCCACCCTACTTCGACGCCTCGAATCACACGTTGACCAACGAATCGGGACGGATCGACGTTGTGCTCGACGATGAAGGGCGCGCGATCGAGGCAGGGCTTCTCGGGGAGAAGGAAGGAGGGAGGGAGGAGGAGAGGAAGAAAGAGGAGAGGAAGAAGGACGAGGGCTCGAAGGGGGAGAAGTCGAAGAAACGGAAGCCAGAGAAGAAGGCTACGTCGCCCCTCGGCCAGTTGATCAAGTCGTTCGTCGCGCTTAGGAGGAATTCCACCCTCGTCGCGAATCTTGTCCCCCCTCTTCCGTTGAGACAGCGGACGCCGACCACGCAGAGGATTCCCTCGCGTCAGAGAGCGCCACCACCGACGAGGACCCAGCTCTACTCGACGGAGAAACCACCTGTAAGTAAGGGAGGATGAGAAACGTTCGATATGAGGAATTCTAAATTTGTCCCGATTTCGATTCGCGGTCGATTTCTATGGTGATGCGATATGATTCGCATTAATGGAATTAGGTGATCGTTTCTTGACTCTCGAGAGAAGGATCGATCGATCGATGAATAAAAGTGAAATCGGATCGCCAGCATATTTTGTTGGTTTGTTTCTGACGCGTGTCCGAGCTGCTCGAAACCAAAGATTGCATTGGATCGCGCGAGTGAACGACACGAGTGGAGGAGATCGAATCGGGGGAAAAAGAAAAAGAAAAAAACGATTAGTAAAAGAAAGAAAAAAGTGAAACCTTACTGAAGACGATTCGTTTATTTCAGTCTGCGCTCAGACAAGGAAGACGTAATCAGACGTCTCTGGCGCAACAACAAACCGAGGTACGTTCGATTTCACCTCGTATGCATATTCCTACGATTTTGTTGCAATTAATCGTGGAAAACTTGGATCGACAGGGCGGCAAGGAAGGAAGCGAAGAAGTAAGCGCGAGGGAGGAGGGCAAGGAAGAGGCCGAAGAGAGCAAAGAGAGCGAGGATGTCGAGGATGTCGAGGGAGGAATCGAGAACGAAGCTTCCAGCGAAGAAAATTCCGACGAAGAGGAGGAGGGAGGAGGCGGACCTATCAACGCCATCATCTCTCTTCTTCAACTCGCAGCGCCTATTCTGGAAGATCTGAGCGACGTAAGAACGAAAAGAGGAGAAATTTCAAAATTTCTAACATCGCTTACCGTCTTGCTTATCTTGTTGTCGACCATTCCAGCCTGAATCCGAAACCGACATTGCCGAAGTGCTTGAAGTAGGGATCCCGTTGCTTCAAGACTTGTCGCAAGTAAGAAGATAACGAATAATATTCTCCAAGTATGCTCTGTCTTCTATCTAAGAAACAGTAAGAGTAAATGCTCTTTCAGGGAGACGACGAAACGCCAGGCGTCGACTTTCCAGGATTATTGGTCCCGATTTTGTTGCAAATTAGCGGAGTGAGTTGGCAATATTTTTTTTACTAAAGCAACTTTTTCGCTTTTCGAGAAATGGAGGAGAGATGGATGGAAACTCGTGCAGGTAAGCGGTATCTGATAAGATTATTTTCAGGAGGACGGAATGAGGGATTCAGGCGCCATTTTGACACCGTTGCTTCAACTAAGCGCGCCGCTCATAGGACCTCTCGTTGGTCCGTTAGTCGTACCGTTGAGCCGCCAGAGCAGCCAGGTATATAAATAACTCCTAATATTCGTAAAAAGATTGTTTATTTTACGTTACAAGAGGATGAATTTCAGCCTCCAGGTCAAGGATCATCGATCAGTAACTTGATCAAGGGTCTCTTGGCTCCCTTGCTCGAGGTAAATATCATTTACAATTCTCAACAACGACGAAACCATGTATAATTTAACGAAACAAATCGTTTCTTTTCAGCCAATCGGCCCGTATGGAAAGATGACGCAACTTTCGAACCTGATCGCCGGAATTGTGTCTAGTCTTAGCAAAGTACGCATCGATCTATTTGTTAAAGAACGCTTGTTTTTTTCCCTCTCTATAAATAAATTCTCTAAATAAACTGCTAACCCGGTGTCATGTATATATCATCATGTATACACTTCCTCTCGATACTTTTTCTCAAATAATAATAAAATAATTACAACCTTTTCTTAATCGATAAATAAAATATTTGCAGAAATTTGCAAAATTTATATATTGTATATATTCGATCGTGATATTCGAAAATATCTCGCGATATTAATCTAATGTTCGTTAATGTTCGTTTTTTACAGAATTCAGGGGCTGGTGGCGCGTCAGACTTGACGAGCCTCGTGAAAGCCGTGGTCGCCGGATCGGTGGCAGGAACGAGCGCAGGCTCGAGCGGGAACAAAGACTCTTACGGAGCTGATGCTGCATACGGTACAGACAATTCTTATAACGCTTATGTAAGTTTTCAACGCTTCGTTTTCACTCGCTCGAAACTACTCACCTCGCGCGATTGGATCTCGCAAATTTGCAAATTTAAATCGAAGCCTTTTTTTATTCCATACACCACACACTACACCGCTTCTCAACTTTTCAGCCTAACGCACCATCGAAGAACACCTCGCTCGGCTCTTCCATCAATGACATCCTTAACGCGATATTAAAAGTGGTCGCCTCGTTAGTGAACGCCATTTCCGCAATTTTGGGCACCTCGTCGAACAGCTCGAACCAACCGCAAACCTATCCCTCGCCGCCCCCCGCCTACCCCAAAAAACCCTATAAAATCCGTCCCGCCGATTATGTTAGCATAACAACCAGCAAACCGGAACGTGTAGTAAGGGTATAAAGGATCAATTCTTGAATATTTTTTTTTTTTTTTTTTTTTTTAATAGCGTTAACAGTTAGATTTTTATTAGACTTTATCTATATCAAAGGGATAAGAATTATCAACATTGTATTTGATTCATTGTAATGATTCTTGACTAGTATCGATTATTTTTGTTCGTTCATCGAGTTTAACAACATTTTACGCCGAAGGGAATTAACGAAATATATTTAGAATAGAAGGGTTTTAGAATATATTTTTCGAGAAAATTGAAACTTATGTCTTTCGATTTGTTGGCAATTTTTGTTTTAATGGAGGAATAATATGTTTTTTTTTTTCTTTTGTATATTAGTGAGAAATAAAAGTGTGCTTTTCCGTGTTCTGCCTTTTCATTGAAATTCAAGCATTGAATTTATTTATTCGATTGTTATGAATCGTTGCAAGATCGTGTTATGTGATATTCATCGAGAAAATATTAATGAAACGTTATAGAATAGAATTCTAAAATATATCTTTCTCGAGGACTTGGATGCAATTGAAGCTAGTGTCTTTCGATCGATTTCTATAATCAATTTAGAAATATTGATTTTTGTTGGCAATTTTTGTTTAATAAATAAATAAATAATATTTTTTTTGTATACTTTTTTTTGGATACTAATAAGGAATAAAAAAAAGTGTCTCGAATTTTGATTGAAGTTCAATTAAATTGAATTTATCGATATATTCATCGAGAGAATATTAACGAAATACATTAATAACGCATGAAAGATGATTATAATTTTTAATTATATTTTTAAAAATATTGTTTGCGATCGGAATATAATGATATTAATTATGAGAATCGACTCGCAATCTCTAATTAATGATATACGATAATTAAAATCATAAGCGTGCCCGATAATCCAAGGATGCGGAATACGTCACTAAACAGACACTTTCGATTCGACCTGATTCGTTCTCCACTTTGATCAAACATATATATTAACTTACTTTTTACTATTATATCCACTTATATCCAGAGAAGGCAACGTTAAGAACCTCGTTCCAATTTTAAAATGAATGTCTTGCAAATTTTTCTTGCGACGAAATCGTTAATGCAAAGATAAAAATATTTGAAAAATAGACCGATTATAAAAAATATATATTTCATTTCGAATTTCGAAAGATTCAATTATATTCTCGTTAATTAATTCATTATCAATATTATATACACGTTTAAAGGAAAGATTCTAAAATATTATACGCTTCGTTTAAATTCAATTGGTTATAACTTACTAATAAATATTTATCGATTAATGATATCGATTATAAGTAAGTAATTTACTAATGAACAAATCTCGACATTGACATTTTTCTTTTCGTCTTTCCGTTTGTTTTGACTTCTAGAGAATCCCTCTTTCCAAAAGTACACATAAATAATATCCACGAAATCCGCTAAGTTCAAATGGCCGCCACGTGTTAAAGCGTGACGCGTAATGAGATGGTGAGTTACGTGATTTGGAAAGGGGATCGAGCGTATATGGACATTCAATTTTGAAACGAGACACAGTTTCATTACGTAACGATTTGTCTCTCCTCGAAAAGGGTTGTCTACTAATTCTCATCTCGTCTGAATCTATCTACCTAAATCAATCGTTTCGTTTCCAAACTCGTAAAAATCTCGTTACCAATCATCCAGAATTAAATTTCTCATTACGTTGTTTCTACGTTGTTGTCTAATCGTTCTCGATCGTTTTATATCGCCGAAAAAAAAAAAAAAAATAATAAAAATAAGAGAAATATTGTAAAACATTTTGAAACATCGTCGTGATTCGATCGAGTAAAATTTATGGCACGTATCAAAGCAAAAGCTTATAAGATTCTTCGATTAAATTTTGAATTTCGTACGAGATTATAATTTCGTAATTTAATATTCAAATTAAAAAATTCACTTCGCAAGACCGATTCAAGATTGCGACACGCGCAAGTAATTATTTAATAGATGCACCATATTCGATTTCACCGGGATTAAATGTGAAATCTAGTAGGTGAATTGTGAATTAACGAACGGCGGATAAAACGCCCGTTGGTTTTCTTCATTTTTCTTATCTTCTATATGGAAAACGCTGGAAAGTTGATATAATGGAAAAAAATTGGCAAACTGAATTGAAGACGGTCTACTAGCTGTTGCTATTACAGGCGGAGAGTCGAACGACGATGGAGTCGGTCATAATAAGCGGCACGGGAGCATAACGAAAAAAGGAAATGAGCAATATTTTTTTCTTCCATCCGCGCAACATGTTTGTGACACGCATCGCCAGTTACTTGAAAATTGTCTCGTAATTTTTATGCGCGGAAAACGCAATAATGTCGCCGATAGTATCTCTCTTCCATTGCGAATCATCCACAGTTCAACGCGTCTCGCCGCTTACACGGGTCGTTGTACCTAGGAGGGGAGATAGGGGGGAAAAAAAAAAAAAGTAACTGCTAGAAAATCTTTGACCTAGCTTATTAGTTAAACCGGCTAGCTGCGTGAAACGTTCGTCGATGACCCGTTGAATAAGCGTCCAATCAACGATCTAAAATACGATTCAACCGAGAACGGAAGTTACAAACTTTAACAAAGGATTTGAAGAAGAATTATATTCGAATTTTCATTCACGCTCGAGTTACATCGTGAAAGTCGTTTGATGTCCAGGGATATCGATTTCATTTTTCATCCTTCCTCGTTCGATTTACCAATCATACCCAATGACCGTCCGAACAAGAAAATCCTATTACAGTATAAATTTATTTCGTTTATTACGTTTTTTATTACGTTTCGTTTCGATTGCGGAAAGAGATGGAAGAATTCGATTTCGATTCGTCGTGGCTCTGTTTATGACTCGATTACAAAAAAAAAAAAAATCAAAGTTTGGAAATCGCTCGAAGTCGCTTTGTAAATAGACGAGATACATGGCGGCAGCCGAGAGAAATAAAGTATTCCGCGTACGAACTACATAACCGGCTAGACGTTTTTCTTGGTTTTTTTCCTTTTTTCCTTCTTTTTCTTTTTTTTACATAATAAAACGCGGAGATCGGTCGCCGACTCCGTGAAGGCCATTTACTTTCCATTCTGGAAAGAAAGCTGGAGTTTTGCCATCGATAGGACGGCTCGGTTGACCCTTGGACCCTATTTTGCGAAATTACCTATTACTACCTTCGACTGCTCGCTATCGTTTCGATCAACGTATTCATAAACGGAGAAACTTTTCTATTCGCTTGCGTTCCATTAGTCTCTGTCCTGTATCTTTTCTCTTCGCTTCGATTCGAGAAAGAAAGAAAAAGAAGAAGAGGAGGAGGAGGAGGAGGAGGAGGAGGAGGAGGAGGAGGAAAGATAAATTTGCGTAGCGAGAAGCTTACGGCCTCGATAAATATTTACAGCTAGATGTTTCACAGCTTGCGTTACGTTATAAACACGTTGAAAAAAAATATTTATATTTTGATGATGAATCGTGAAAAACTAGCAATAATAATAATAATAATAAAGATAAATAGATTCGTTGGGAAACGAATACGACAATCGTATCTTGCGCTATATCAAAAAATGAAAAAACATCCAAAAAAAAGAATAATAATAATAAATGTTTTTATCCAACATATTCCCACGAATGCATCTTCTCTCCGCTACTCGATCGTATTTAATTCGATTTTACGATGTTTCAAAACAAGAGAAAATTTTTCTTTTTTTTTTTTTTTTTTTTTTTGTTTGCTTAAAGAAATCGAACATGGTTACGCAAATCTGCTAGATAAAATTGCAAGATTGACTGTTTTAAACGAAGATCTATTAGATTGATTAGGTAAGTATCATAATATCGTAAACAGCTTTTGCAACGAAACGTCATATTTCGAGTTTGATGAAAAAAAAAAAAAAAAAAAAAAAAGAAAAACAAAATTACTCATCACACTAATTGAATTATTAAACGATTTGTTTACGATACGAATTTTATCTTCGATGTAAAAAATATAATCTATCTTGATTGAAATCGTTGATCCTAAACTTATTAGTAAACGAAGAAATTTCTTTTCCAGGCCAATTGCCAACGACCAGGCGCGGAGGGTAGGTGCTAAAGAATTTCTTTACAACAGAGTCAATGCGATCGAGGATCGGTTCATAAATCATTAATCTTTGTCCCTATTTGCGAGAATCTAGTTCACAGCCTTCGTTCCCGTGTCATGGAAACGAAATAAAAGTCGAATGATGATGAACATCCTTGTCACCATGGTCCGGTATGCGCACGAGTAAAAATTTCGCAACTGTTCAACTTTAAATTATATACGAGATTTCTACTCGTAGCGATTATTTGCATTTAATTTAGATCCGTTCTATCGATCATTGTACAAGATTATATAGATTCCCTTAACAATTTTAATCATCGTATACGATATTATGCTGCTGCTCGATAATTTAGAGAATAGTGTTCTAATGTGTTTGAACGTTCGATTGATAAATTCTTTGAAAGAGAATGACTCGTATGAGACGTGTTACAACAGAGACATAAAAAATTCAAACTGTTGGAATGATGAAATTCGCATTATAAATATTATTGTTAATAAAATTATTTTCATTTGCTTTGCTAAAAATTCTTTGAGAGCTTGCGGTATCGTTCTATTATATATATATATATATTTTTATGATAGGTCAGGTTATTAATTATTACCATAAATTGCAACAATATAAATGCAAATTAACGAAAGAAATGAAACAAAAATTAATTACCACAAGGATTATTAATTAGATAAATAAGCGATAGATATTATTAATTAGTATGTAACGCGGATTTGTTCTTTTTTCTTTTTTTTTTCTTTTTTTTTTCTTTTTTTTTTATTTTTAAATTGCGCAACAGACCATCAATTGGCAATTGAATTACGCGAGAAATTTTTCTTTCAAATGCTAATTAAATATGAAAATTAATATTCTACAAATATATTCTTTCTTCCTTTTTTTTCTATTTTACTTTTTTTTTCTTTTTATTACCATGTAATTGTGCGGTCACACGTTTTAAAAAAAATATCTAATTAAATATTTCTTGTCTCAGAAGAGTTTAGCGTTATTTATTACTTACTTAACTTTAAAAAAATATTTCACGTTACGACTGACAAAGATATTCCCAATTGTTTTTTTTTTTTTTTACCTGAAATTTTTTTTTATATCCGTTCAGATAATTCTTCTTTCTGAAACGTGTGACGCGCGCCAACTGCAAAGTTTAAGGTCTAGGACTGTGTACCCTTTCATCCGGAAATTTCGCAAGTTTGTCACGCGTTACGCAACAATACCGATTCGAAAGACTTTTACTCTCAACTCCGATCTCACGGTTCGTTCGATGGAGCTTTCTATTTCATTCTTACGTGTCGTGTAATTCATGACTGTATAACGTTTATTAACAGCGGCTCGAGACCGCTTTTAATAAAAAATCGATAAAAAACATAAAAAAAGATGAAACCAAATTCAAAATGGCTATGTATACTAACGATGATATTTACTCAATATATGTGCGAAAAAAAGTTAAATATTTATTGGAATTTTACGTTTGCTTGAAAAATTTCATGACGTCATCGCGTCAACCTGCCATAGCATAGGAAATCTCCATGAAGCATACGTCACTGGTCTCGAATGTGAATGAAAGAAATTTTTTTCGAAGGCAATCGAAATCCGAGGAAATAAAAGAAAAAAAATTGTTTTCGAGAGAGATGTTTTAAAATTTAAATTAAAATTTTTTGAAAACAAAAAATTTTATAAAAAACTCTCAAAAAAAAAATTTCGAAATTTTTGATATCAATCGTGCGTCTCGAATGTTTTTTGAACGAACGAATATTCCGTATAGATCAAAATCAATTTCGATTCTCCGCAATCGAAAAAAATCGAATCCTCCTGTCACAAGAAGAAGTTTCGTTCGAATTTGCAATTTTTACTTTCCCATCGATGAAATGCGATCGTATTTCATGGCGATTCACCTTATCCATGGACCCTTGTGCACACGATAATTATATAAACGCATCGTGCAAGGGCTTGCGTAATCGTGCAATAGAACGGCGATATCGTTATTGCAGAAAGAATTTAACAAGGAGCATCTCTTCGGGGTCAAAGTTTTTTTCCCAGGATTTTTTTGTCACGATAAATCTTATTCAGACCTAACGATAGATTTTTGCAATGCTATATTATACTCTCGGGTATAATAAAACATTTATTATCATCACAATAGGGAATGGGAATTATACATTTTATTTCGAGTAGTAATACGTTCATGGAAAGAGAATTATATTTGGAATTCGTTAAAAATAATAAATACAAGTGTAGCGGATAGTAAATAAATCTGTACGTATAAATAATATATGTACTTTTTCTTTTCTTTACCATCGCATCATTGATTCTTAAAGAATAATAATCTGGAAGGATGGTTTCATCGTTGTATTTCGACTTGTTACTCTAATTTAGTAGAAAAAAAAATCATTCATTATTATTATTCATGGAAAAGAACGTTAAAATTAAACTATTTGATTATTTCCACGTCTCGATTAGATCCGCGTCAAGAATGCAAATCAAGCATTTTCTCTCGCCGATATTTTGCGCGCATTCTTCTTAAAATGAAAAAAGAAAAGAAAAGAAAAGAAAAGAAAAGAAAAAACCACGAACGAGAATATACATCGTAACCGGTACGCAACCGGTGGTTCCTTCCTTCTTCTATATCTGTTTTCCTACGAGAACGAGAAAAATTAGGAACTTTCTCCGTCCATAGGAATTGCGGAGACGATATCTCGTAACGTGTTATTGTTTTTGCAAAAGTAAATCGATGTAATTCGCTTACGCGGTACAACGATCGAGAAGTTTAACGAACACGTGGCCGCCTGTGAATGTGAAGCCGCGTGTGTAGGAAGTGTGGCCGAGAAGAGAAAGTAAGGACGAATATGCTCGTTGTTCGATATATGCATATAACCGAGCGATGGCTACAAAGCGCTTTTAGCTTCCTGTACAATTCACTTTCGAATCGATCTATTTGAGAAACGTTGACACTTTTACCAATTTTAACCTCTTTTTTCTCGTATCGTATCTCTCGATGCAATCCAGACGTATTTATCTACGATGAAAACAAAAAACTGCGATTAAAGATTTCGCACAGAAGCGTTGTGTTTCGTATATATCGAATAAAAATATACGCACATATTCTCAAAAGTAAAAGATGCGTTATAACACACGATCGTTGTTACATAAAAGCGTTGAGGTTGATCGGTGAAGAAGGAACTCGAACTTTCTTACCGACTTAGACCTCGTCGCGGTCTCTGCCGTGACCGTGTGTCAATTCAGTGAAAGTGTCGCTTTGTGAACACTTTCGACCCACGACTTCTGAACCCGGGATCAGAAAATTGGCAACACTGATTAACGAACGAAATCCATTCGACACGGTTGAGAAAATATGAGCGGAGTTTTGTTCGAAACGTAAACAAGAAAGTGAGGATTACGTTCGCGCGATTAATAAAATGCAAGGTTACTTTGTTTACAACGTTCGAATCATCATCGTTATTATCGATTTTCTCACGATCACTTATCAGCAACAATGAGATACGTTTACACGTGCATTATCGAATTTCTCGTATACGTGCATAATATCCTATATCTTGTGTTTTCAAAACGAACGAAACGACGAAGAAATCTAAAAAAACAAACGTGTGACAGATAAAACGTAGCATTAATTGTAAGGCGTGTCGATTGGCGTGGTCAGGAAACGACAGCGATAGAAAAAGGAGAAAAAAAATAAAGGAACTTGAGTCACGGTGGAATTACGCCATAAATTTCGCCCACCTTGGTCGCCAACGTCAGAGTAGCGGGCGTTTCGTTCGGACAATTTCCCCGTTACGACTTTCCTTCGTGGCGGCCTTCTCCTCGCCTCTATTCCTACATCGAGGCGTCACGTATCGACGTTTCGACGTGTCGATACTGCTGGCCCGCTGTCCTGTCGCCATCCAAACGTCTCTCCAGCCTATCTCCATCCTTTCGCCGATATCCAAATTTCCCGCGAAATTAACGGAAATAACGGATACGAGGTGGTACAGTGCGGTTACAAGTGAAATTATACAGTGTAATATGGTGATCATGGACAGTGAGCGTTGACGATTGTTGTTTCTGCCAGAAGAAGAAAAAGAAGAAGACGCACGTGTGCGAGTAGACTTTCGATTCGACTTTCTATTATTTTCCGTCGGAATTTTTCTACTCGAACGTCGAATTCCGTGTCAAATTCATTCTCGATTCGATCGGAACGAGCGATTTCGATATATTCGCATTCCCCTGTTATTTTTCTCGCTCCCATCTAACTATATTCGCTCAACAGTGTGTGCAAACTTCGATCCGGTCGAGACCAGTCACTCCGGATCCGGATAATCGACTTGGCGATGGATAAATCGTTTAAAAAAATATCTTCGTAACGTTCGTACGTTGTGTTATGTGTATTATTCCAGCAAACTGTTATTGGAACGTGCGGATCGGAAGCGGATCGGAAGAGGATCGGAAGAGTGGGTAAGTGATCGATCGATTTGAACGACGAAACGTGTCACGTTAGAAATCATAAATATTCGATGCGAGATTTGTTTGCGATTTTTGTTTCAATAGAAAGTTGCTCGTCGCCACTTTTCATCGTGAAAATTGTTAGAACACATCTTTCACTTTGTGAATTTAATACGAGCATTGTGGTTTTAAGGAAACCATTCCTCGTTGTAACGTATTACGAGAGAATATAACGAGAGAAAAAAAAAAACGAAAGAAACCGGAACATCCGCTTTCTTTTTGAGTCTGGTGAGTATATTGCATAAGCGTCATCAGATATAGATCTCGTGCCACGCGTTTCATCGAAAGAAAAAAAAAAATGTCCACTCAGCTTTCAAAACCCAAGCAATTCTCTATGAGGATTATCAACCGTCTGGTCAAATGAGCGTATATAAATTATGCGTTGCGTAACTACGTACGTACGCACGAAACTCTTCCGGTTTCTCCATTTTCTTTTCTCTCTTTTTTCTTATATTTTCTTTTCTTATTAGTACAGTATATCTTTCCAGCCTTCTTTTCCATCGTATTTTCTCTTATCTGAAAGAAAAATGAGAAAAATCGAGATTTGAACTTTCTCGTCCTAAGAGAATCATTATCTTTCTAATTCGTTTAATTGAAATATCAATCCTGGTATTCCGTTAGAAAAATCATCGTTTCGTATTAATTAACAAAGTTATTTCGTTTCGTTTCGATCTTTTTTTTTTTTTTTTTTCCTGTTTGTCAAGTTTTAACCGTGGATAACATACCTCGAGCGTTTACGTGCACGAACGCTATGTGGCACCACGCGACAAGAAACGAAGATGACCAACAGCCGTCGGATTATAAAAACGACTCTACTACTTGCTCATTCCACGAGTCATCGTTTCAACGATTACAATTAAAAATCGTTTTCCTCGTCGTTAAATAGATGGAGATAATCGATGAAATAATGCGCGTAAAATTTTTTAATAATTCTTTTAGTAATTCATTTTTTAATTGATTAAGATCTATCAGTTGAAATCTCCGTTTCCTTTCCAATTAAGATTAGCCTTACGTGCAAGCAAAATTTAACGGTTGAAGTTTGGAATAAAGTTACCTCGATAATTTGTTATTCAAAGCATCGAATAATGATTGTAGAGCGGATCAATTACAGGAGAATAAACGTTACGCGAGCATTTTAATAATAAGTTATTTAATTCGAGGTAACTTTATTTTCATTATTTTGAACAGGTTAATGACACAACTCTTGCGTAGTGCGGCGATATTAAAATTTATCAGCCCGATAAAATCACAATTTCATTGCACGAAAGCCGCGCCTCGCGGAATAGGAATTTCTTCGTACGTGAAAGGATGATCGCTTAAATTATCTTTTTAGAACGCGTTACAAAATTCTTCGAGAAGAGCCCTTGTTATTCCTTCCAAAGTATTTTCCAACGAAGAAACGGTGCTCGAGCAACTGTAAAAATCTAGCGAGAGCATATGAAAGAAGCGTTCGATGAATTTTTAAAACGAATTGCTTAAAACGAACGAAGCGGATTTTAATTAAGGATTTAAATTTGAATTATTATTTAAGAGAGAAAAAAGAAAAACACGTGATGTAACAAAAGTTATTTCGATTACATCCATAATTCAGAAATCTCGTTTCCATCCATCGATTGCGAAACTTATTTCAATTTAACGTGTACACGTGTAAAACCAAAGCGCCGTTTTTCGACCGTGAAGAGAGACCGTTCCTCGTGACGCGCCGAATTCTCGTACGCGATGAGCATTATTAATCAAGAAAATTTTGTTTGAGACGGCCATCCAAGATCACGGTTACGCAAATTGGGCGACCTACTTCAATTTGCATAATTCTCTCGCACAATCCTTCTCGATCACGTCCTCGACTCAAGGAGGATCGCCTTGAATCGAATTTAATAGGATTCTCGGTGGCGGTGGTGGTCATAGTTCACGGCGATAGTCCAACTCGTTTCTCGTTTAACGAAGATCGACAATCGAGGAAACGAGTGCGATTTTGCAACGGGTTTCGAAAAATGCGAGAGATGGCCGCCAAAGCGATTGCGCGCACGTCGATAGGCAAGTAACGATCGTCGTTACCGTAAACGTCGGTCGACGAATGCATTCCTCGACCGGCAACGAGGAAACACCGTCCTTGATCCTTTCCGTCTCGCCCCGTTCGTGGCCCGCATTTCGAATTTCGCGCTTTCGAATTTCGCGATACGAACATCCCCGCTGCAATTCTGATCGATTCTGGTTTAGGAATTGTGATGAAACAGAACGGGAGAGAGATAGAGAGAGAGAGAAAGAGAGTTTTCTAGTTTCTTTCCAGTGGCGAGGAATGAGAGGAATCTTTTTAATTAAGAATTAACGCGCGAGATCGTTTAGCGGAGATAGTTTTCAACGATAGCGTAATCGGATGTCGAGAGAAAAGGTGAAAAATCCAAGAGGTTCAAGTCTACGGTCAAGGTGAAAGCAGGAGGTCGTAACGATTAAATTGCAACGGAACGGTGTCGATCGCGGGCGAAATGGATCGTGAACAGTGCTCGAACGAAAGCGATTTGGATTCTCGATTTATCCTTCTCCAGGCACGAGAGAACACATATATATACATATTCGATGCGGAAAGTTTTTAAATCGAGATAATAAATCGAGCCGTCCACCGTCCTCCGATAAGAGATCGCGAGGAGGATTTTCCAAGATCGAAAGATCCTCTTCGTAGTAATACGGTAGGTAATAATACGGAGAAAGGAGGAATGATCCAATTTGGAGAAACTAGCAGTTGCGTAATGGGCGTTACGATGGTTCGTGACGTCGTGTGAGATAATATGAGCGAGAAAGCGACGTCGAAGCGCGCACCTTCACGGCCGTATTGAAAAATAAATTGCAATACAGCTATATATATATATATATATATATATATATACACATATATCTACAGGTTTAGAATTATAATCGAACACGGTTCGAACAACTAACCTCTCCTTTTCGTTCCACGCAACGAAACTTACAATACGTCTACAATATGTATTCGAGAATTATTTACCTTTCTAAATAATCAATTATGTATTGTCGCTCGCAGAAGAGGGGTGGGGGAATATCAAATCGTTCAAAATTTATTACGCAACGTGATTAACCGCTGGAGGCGCGCTATTCATCCGTGTTCAAGCGATTCTATCTTACGCGTCTTGCCCACTTACTTTCACACCACCGAATAATCCTGACCTTTTCAGTTTTCCCACCAACTCTCGGTCAACTCTCCGTCTCCTCCCCTCCCTCTCCACCGCGTTCAACCGCGTTATTTTGAAACACGCGCGGATAAGTGACTTTCAATGATTCGATTGCAGACGACCCATCTCGAGACGCGTCGCCCCGTCCGTCCACTATCCATTGCTCAATTGGCGAGCAAGACATCCTCGCGTATCCTCGCGTATCCAGCCCCGGCAGGATAGATGGTACGTACGGTTTTCGAGAGCGTACGAGGCTGCGTGGGATTCGCGGAGCAAATGGAACCTGCCCCACCTGGGAGGCGAGGCCTGCGATTCTCGATTCTCGATTCTCGAAGGGGCACACACATGCTCGCCTTCGTTCCCCTTCGTGCCGCTAAGACATCGGGATCTCCTTCACCGTGGTCCTCAAACGAGCCTCGCTCTCCGCCAGGTACACATCTCTCGCCACTCACGCACTCTCGCCGTAAGTCCCCTTTCGCGTATCTTATTATTTCAACGCGCCACGTGCCTCTTACCTTCCTTCTGCACTCGCCTCTCCTCTCGCTTCGATCATCGTCGCGCGATTTTCGCCTTCGTATCTCGCGTCTTTTCGAGCCGTTTCTACGAGTCGTTCGCGTTGGAGCTAGCAAGGTGAACCAGTGTTCGTACGTATTTCCAATGGCGATCGATGATGTTCGTTTTCACCGCGTTTTCACCGCAAATCGATATTTCGATATCGATATAAAATCGATATTTCGATATTTCGATTTTATATCGATATCCTCCCCACGATCGACGAGGAAACGCGCGAAATGACATTTTCACGGGAAACTTGTGAAAATGTTCTTTTCTCCCCGTTTCGAACCTTTCACTTCGACCTCTCAACAACCTCGTCTTCGCGGAATCCTATTTACTCATTAGCCGCGATTTTCCCCAGGACAAACAAACTCAAGAAGCTCGACAAGCAAAAAGGTAGAGAGAGAAGGAAGAAAGGAAGGAAGGAAGGAAGGAAGGGAGCAAAATGAGGATAACTTGCTTACTCTTTGGCCTCTCGTTGCTGTTGGCTTACGTGAACTCCAGTCCTATCGTCAAGAGGGAAACGGAGCCCGTCGAGCTCAATCCATTGAACGAGGTAAGACGTTCGAATTCTCGAATTCTCTGTTTCGAACTCGAGAGGGGAGCAGTATAAAATCCCACGAAATCGTAACGTTCCAAGTGACGTTCCGTAATAGGGAAGGAGGGAGGGGACTTATTAAAAATCGTGAAAGTGAAAGCGCCCATTTTTATTATCTTACACCGTGTTAGAAGCTCGAGAGTCCTTACGTGGAAGATCGTCTAATATCGGGTCTACGATCGCAAGATGCGTCAGGAAAGGAGACACGAAGAGGGAGAGACGAATCGAGAAAAGAGAGAGAGAGAGAGAGAGAGAGAAGGAGGCGAAGAAACGAGCGAGGAGTGAAAGTGGTTGACTTAACTTAAACGAACGCAGAAGCCGGATAAACGCGTAACTGAAATTCTGATCCGTGGCACGTGGCCGTACGCAACGTTCGCCTCGCTCTTTCTCCCTCCTTTCATCCACCGTTTATCGTCTGTAATTAGCGTCGTAATCACGTTCGGAAATTAGACGAGAGATCCTCGATGACCTCGAGGAGGTCTCGCTTAATTGCTGTTTACGAGGGATTAAACGAGAGCTCCTCGACAATCGCGACAATCCTCGTTTTCGCGTAATTGTCGTTCACGATCAATCTGGAGATTGAGCCGAGATAGAGACGACAACTGCTCGAGAGGCTTTCGTTTTGTAATCGTCGTTTAATAATTAAATGAAAATTCTCTTCGTTGATTCACGATAGAGCGAGGAAAATTTGTAATAGTTAATGAATAAAATTATTTCAACTCAATTTATCTATTTTTTTGTTCATTATAATAATCGCGGATAATTGTAATGCTAGAGTGGTGGTTATAAAAGCGAATATTATTTAAAGATTTTATTAAAGTAAATTAAAAGTTCAGCCCGCAACTCTGTCTAGAAATTGCGGCAAGAAAAAAGTTTCAGATCTTAATCTTTACTTCGTTTCGATTAGATATACGTGGTGGAGGCCGAGGATGACCGAGGGGACGAGGAGAGGGCCGACAGGGACAAGAGGAAGATCGCTGTGGCGAAGCTGGGTGTATCCAACGGCATAATCAACTTCGTCTTCAACGTAAGATTCGCGTGATGAAATATTGATAATGAGAATGACTCGTGTTGATATTCATTTTCGTTTGCAGAAGCTGGATTCTTTGATCGACGCGAAGACGAAAGCTCTCACCGACCTGGACGAGACGAACAAAATAAAGAACAAGGCTTACGGAATCGACGTGAACAAGTCGGCAACCAGCAAGTTCATCGGCGAGCTGGTGAACGCGAAAATTCAATCCGCGACAGGAAGTATCGGGCCGGTGGTGAGCACGGCCCAAAACTTCTTCTCGAACACGAAGAGCGGATTGACGAACGCGTTCGTCTCGAAGTTGGCCCCGCTCAGCTCCATCGCCTCCGGTTTGAGCTCTCCATCCTCCAATGGTAAGAGAATATCCTCCGAAATTGCGTTTAAAATTTTCGAATTTTTTTATTTTATCTTAATCGATAAACGTTTTTCGTTCTCAAATTTATTAGGGGAGAACAAGGAGAATCTCGATACCAAAGCGTCGAACGCGTTCAGCTTTCTAGGAAACATTTTGAACGCCCAGCTCGGCGCGTTGTCGAACTCGAAGGGTCTTTCTAGCGATTCAAGTATATCCGAAGGGGTACGATAATAATAACTCTTTCTCTTCTTCACGTTTTTTTTTTCTGTTTTTCTATTTCTATTTCTATTCCGTTTCGTGATACCTTACCTTATTCACTCTTTCTTTCAACAAGTACGTTGCTCGTCGCCGATCGAATTAACCAGAAACCTGCGACGACTGATTACTTCCAATTGCTTCTTTTTCCAATCTGATCGTGTAAAATTGTCGCTTGCCATGGATGGAATGGAAATTAAGAAAAAAAAAAAAAAAAACTTTCGTTAAACGTTTCGTTTTTTCCCCTTTACTCGTCGGTCATAAACTTGCATGCACCGCATTTGTCACGTGTCGTCATTCGCAAGAGGGTGCGAAACTTTGCTTGCTAAACTTGTTTGGCTTGATACAAAGAATCCTTCTAAATTTTTTTGTTTGCATGTAGAGAACTTTCGCCTTATTACGTCGAATTAACCCTCTCACGAGAATCGTTTGGAAAATCAATCCAAACGATTGCAATACTCGTTCATACTATTAGCTAGCTATTCTTTCGTCGGGACCAAGGTAAACACGCAAATTAAAATGAGAACATGTTGTGCATAAACAGTACGATTACGGTTCGCCGCAAGGGGAGCCTTATACGGTTTAAAAAGCGGATGCGGTGCAAACGAGGACGTTGGATTCAACGCTTTGGACGCGTCCAAAGGGGATGTATCATCAAGCAGCAACGCTTAAGAGGATCCTAAGGGCGACTAAACGCCTATTTAAAACCAAAAAAAAGAAAAAAAAGAAAAAAAGAAAAAAAAAAAAAGAAAAAAATAGAAACTAACTAACGAAAGAACTCTATCATCACGCGTATTTGTAACATTCCCGTAGATTAGTAGCACTGTATGGATTTTTCTTTTTAGCTCGACCGATAAATTGCCAGGATCTTCTCCTCCCCTTCTGTCGGTGACAAACCCACCCACGGTAATCTAAACGTTTAGAGAGACACGCAACAGATCTTCCTCTATCTCGTCACTCTTGTTCGTGCTAAAACCAACGAGAAGTCCCTCCCCCCCAACGTTGAACGAACCATCGTTGTGCGACAAATGTAAATAATATTTGTTATAAGAGTAGTTTCTCGACCACGTAGCCGCGTGTCTCGATCATCATGTTTGTAAATTCATGGATGTAAATAGGGTATAGTATCTTTATTAACCTGATATTAAGTATAACAATCAGCAAGGATGGCCATAATTAATGGTTTTTATTGATATTGATGATGATATTGATGTTAAATAAAATCACGATCACGTTCTTTTTTCTTTCTTTTTTTTTTTTTTGTTTGTCTACGAATCGAATATCTGAATATCTTTTTCCAATCGTACGTCCTGTATCCTTTTTCTGTCCTTCCCCAAAGATATACAGGATAGATTTTAATTTACGTGTGAAATTTATATTTATACGAATATAAGAATATAATTCTTTTTTTTTTTTTTTTTTTCGATATTATTATTTCTTCTCGAGATCTTTATTTCCTTTTATCTCTTTTCGATGAATTCGACCAATCATGTGCTAATTGCACAACGATACAATTTTAAATTATTACACGGCGTACCAATATTGATTTTTTCGCACGCATGATTGCGCCAAAGCAACAATCGCGTTACACGTTCTCTAATAAATACGTTATGGAAACAAGTTCTCGATCGATCGAAAAAAAGAAACGTATCATTCTCTCTCTCTCTCTCTCTCTATCTCTATCTCTATCTATGTTTCTCTCTCTCTCTCTCTCTCTATTCTCGATGTTGGCAACACCGAGCTACGCACGAGTGTTGCGAAAGCCGAACTGTCATTGGCTATTTTTTTTTTTTCTTTTTCTTATCTATGTCCAGATCTCGACCACGACGGAGGATATCCCCGAATTCGATAGAACGAAGGTGAACTTGGACATACCCCCAGTCGTGTTCGGTAGCGGTTTCACCACTATCACAAATATCAGCAAAATCCTGAGCAACGTGATCACCGTAAGTCCGAGCGAAAATTTGTACAAAATTAAAAGATATCGAGATCGAGGTCGATGTTATTATATTGTCTCGCGATTATATACACGAGTATAATTTGAACTCGGGACAATACTTTTCTTTTTTCTAATTTTTTCTTCCCCCTCTATGGCAAATCAATTCGTTACGTTGCAAATGTGTCACCCTTCACTTTATTGCAAAATTAATCCGGTTTTCCACGATATACCTCTTTTTTGCGCGCAATCAAAATGATATATTTATATATATAATATGATTAAATCGATCGAATTTCGACGAAGAATGATCTTTCTTTTTTCAGAACTCGGCCCGTCGAACGCAAACGTTGCTAGAGGTGTTCAAACCGTTCTTCCGTGGAGTTTTCGCAATCAAGGGCCTTCCTTCGGATAATCCCCGCTAGAAGATGGCCCACTAGAGGAGGATCATTGCGGTGCTAGGATCGACTGCCATTTCACCGAAGGATTTCCAGGAAGAGTCTTCTGTTTCGAGGGTGCTGAGGAGGAATCGAATGGGATCCGTGCCAAATAGCCTGCGAATGATAGTCTAGATAGAATACGAATTTTAGGACAATCGTAATCAATCGTGTTGCGTAGTTAAAGGTGATTGTTAGAAAGGGGGAATCATTTTTGTATATCCCATCCCTTGCGCCAGAACCACGAAATTTCCTCTTTGCGCGTGAAAAAAATATTTCTATTCGAATATTTATTAACTTATCAAATTTCCTCTGCGATGCTGTCAAAAATATCGATCATTTTACTTTATATACAAATTATCGAATAATTTCGTGGTTCTGGCGTCAGCGGCGTGAAATGTATAAATATTTATGCGGCCTCTGTGCCGTTCACGGGTGATCAAACTTGTTGTTTCCTTTCGTACGTAAATTCGTTGCCATAAATTGCGACAGAACTGTTTGCCAGAACTGTAGCTCGCGTGCCGTGAAATGTACGTACAACGATGTAATATTTTTACATCACTGCTGTTTAAGTGTAATGTTCGCTCGATGGTGAAAATGAACACGTGTTGCTTGATTTAGAACTTGTTAATTGTGTTTTCGATCAACGTGTAAAATAAACGTGCGAACATATCGAATCGATTAAATTCTTTACTTCCTACTATGTAAAAAACACCATCGACGTGATTTCCTTTCCGATAGTCTCTCGATTATCGGAGAAATCTTTTTTCTTTTTTTTTTTTTTTTTTTTTTTTTTCTTTAGGTGAGATGAAGTAAGCCCGTCGTAAAAATTAATCTATTCAATAGTAAGTCCCTTCTTGACTTCTGCTTGGATGAAAAGAAACTTTGTTGCGCTATCTTGAATCGAATTGCGCAACAATGTTTACGAATCGAATCGTAACAGTATATTGCCGCGGATCGGATTCATTTTGACTGTCGTCGAATAATTAATATCATCAACTGGCCTGGTTCAAGTTTGGAAATAGTACAAGGAATTTATAAATACGTAAAACTTGTATTTTATTTCGCGTTAATCGTGATTTCTAAATGATGATATTTTTGTTTATTATGCGGTGACATTTGATATTTCTAAAAGTTACTTAATGAATTACTTAATGAATTTCTAAAAGTTACTTAATGGATGAATAAATGAAACCGTAATATCCTTTTGCTTAACTTATCTTAAAGTATCGGTCGTAAGTAAAAAATATCTCGCTATAAAAACATCTTCGCAAGTATTTCTGGATATTCAATTTAATTTATTTATAATATAATATAATTTATTTATAATCGAGTAATATCTTTATATGTTATATCTTTATTCTTTATATGTTATATCTTTATTCTCATTGCAGACATTCAATTGCATTCAATTACATCTTCACGTAACGATGTTATTGGTTTGCACGTGTTGTAATTGATTGCAATAATACCGCGATGACGAAAAATCGACGAGGCGATAATTACCATCGATTAATCATTCTTTCAGGCTTCCGTATCCGGTGAAAGTTTTATTTATTCGAACGAATAACAATTTATCCTATCGAATGAGAAACGAAAGAAAAATTAAATAAAAACGCGATTCGATCTGGCTTGCCTCCGCGAGCCCAACTTCCGGTCTGGACCACCAATTATGCAACAGTGGTTGACGCAAGTATGCAAAATATATTAAATACGCGACTCTTTTATGTTTGAGAAAAGAAAACACTTCGAAGTGGAAAAGTGTTTTCTTTGAGATTTATCTATGAATCTACAAAATCTGTCTACGAAGAAAGGTATTTGAAAAAAAATGAAAAGATGGCTGACTACACGATGGCTTCTTTCCCTTCTCCTCCGTATAAAAGTATTTAATATTTGAAAGTAAAACGAACTTTTTTATAGTATAATGGAGTCGCAAGATTGCGTAATCGTAAGTATGGGAACGCGAAAAGATGCACGCGACCTAGTTCTAAGTATCCAAAGATACCAATGAACGATTAATTATCATACGTGGCGCGTTCCACTTTCTTAGTCGTTATTGGCCACGCCGTTTCTTGCGGTCAACGGATGCAAAAATGATCGGTATTATTCACCGCGTATTTTATGGGCGAAGAAAAGAAAATTCACGAGAAAAAAAAAAAAAAGGACGGCCGTCATAATCATAATTTATGGTCGTCTCAATAATCGGTGTCTAAGCAAAAAAAAAAAAAAAAAGAAAAAAAGTCTTGACAGAACTACGATTGGCAAATTGAACGTAAAACGTTTTTTAAAAACGTTAATGAAGTATTGTCAATGTTGAAACGATAAAAACTTATCGTATAAAATCTGTAATAAATTCTCATCAACCAGCTATGTCAGCTATTAGCTGTTATCAATTTCGTAGAAACTAATTAAACGAACACGCGTTTAAAAACGCGTTTAAAAATTTCTTTTCCAGCTTTCGTAACTATATATGATATCTCTTTTTCTCTCTCTATTTCCTCGATATTAAAATATGTAAAATCGAGATTATCCAACGATTCGTGTGATCATCGACCATCGTTGCCCAATTTTCTACACGAAAAGTACGTTCAACGGATCGTGCACGATCGTGACTCATCATGGGAAATTTTTCTTTTGACGAGTAATTTCGATTTCGGAGAATTTTCGTTTCTAGAATTTCATAAATTCTGTAACGACGGAACGGGAGATATTTCGTAAAAAAGGAACGACCTTCGAACGATTCGAAGTATCGAAAGGAGGAGAGACTCATCTCGTTAGTGTCCGCTCTACCGTCCAACAAGATGCATTTGTTCTCAAGCGACGTGTCGTTTCTTCTTTACACCGCCGGGACTGGTCTTCCAGATGTGAAGCTGACGGAAATACTTCTCGCATGAACGAATTGAGAATTTCAGTGTCGTCTCAGGTAAGAGTGGCGACTGTTTCTACCTGTTTTCTTTCTTTCTTTCTTTTTTTTTTTTTTACGATTCTCTCGGATTTTTGTCATTTTTTCTTTTTGTTTTGTTTTAAATAAATAAATGATATTGTGTATCTATTTATCTATATGTATGTTCGATTTTGTAGAGGAAGGCATTAATAATTAATTCTGTTGGATGCAAAAAGGATGACTTTACTTTTTGAGTAAAATATATGACTAGATTTTTTTTTTATATGTTCTGTAAATTTTGTATCTTTTGTATCTTCAATATTGGCCAACGAATTCTTACTTGTTCAAAGGTATAGAAACCGACTATTGAAACTCTTTTTTACATCCAACAATACAAAAAGACGAGTTCTTTTTATATTTTTAATTGCGGAAAGTTGTTAATTTTTCTTAAATGTAAATGCTTTATTTTTACAATTGACCGGTGGAATTGTACTTGATTCAGTGAAATTTATTCAAGATAATCACTTATTTTATGTTCCTCTTTCCAATCTTTAATTATACAAACATTTCACCGATATCTTTCAATACCATTTCAAAGGTATAGAAACCGACTATTGAAACTCTTTTTTACATCCAATAATACAAAAAGACGAGTTCTTTTTATATTTTTAATTGCGGAAAGTTGTTAATTTTTCTTAAATATAAATGCTTTATTTTTACAATTGACCGGTGGAATTGTACTTGATTCAAAGTGAAATTTATTCAAGATAATCACTTGTTTTATGTTCTTTCCAATCTTTAATTATACAAACATTTCACCGATATCTTTCAATACCGTACTTAGAATTCTTTTGTCTCTTACAAACAAACAAACGCGTTAACCAACATATGCAATGCCGCTATACGAATAAAAAATGACTTTCCAATTTCTCTCTCTCTTTCTCTCTCTCTCTCTCTCTCTCTTTTTCTCTCTCTCTTCGTTATAGAAAATAGTAACCAAATTTCTAAACTAGTAGGTCAAAGGACCCAACGTCGTTCACTATTTCGTGAACGATTGCGCGAACGTTGCATAAGAATAAATCTGACCACGTTTTATTATACAATACTATCATCGAAACACGAGAAAGAGAAAGAGAGAGAGAGAGAGAGAGAGAGAGAGAGAGAGAGAGAGAGAGAAATTAATTCTGTCTTGTCTTTCTTCTCCAAGCAAATCACACAAAACTATTTCGCAACGTTTAATATATTGTATGAATCAAGGATCGACTCGACGTTTGCTCGAGATAATTTTATTGAAAAAAAAAAAAAAAAGAAAAACAAAAAAAATTGATACTGACACGTAAACGAAGGAATAATTTGCAACACGCGCGTATATTTTTCTTTTCACGTGCTGCCGCACGTTTGGCTGCGCGAAATATTCGGTTCGTGATCGAAGCTTCTATATAAAATGCGATTCGTTATTTAAACTTAACTTCTTCCGACAAATTGGCGATTGGAAAATTATATCGGTTGTTTCCTCTACTACAGGTTTCCAGATACCACGCAACGGGGTAACAGAGAATTGCATAAGGGTACGTGGACGAACGCGAGGGATTACGCAATACGTATATTTGTTCGAGGCAAATAGAAGAGTGAGTAGAGGCAATGAAAAAACAAACGATTCGTCGTCTTCGGGGAGGAGAGGGGAGGGGAAGAAATGGTTCGTTCAACCGAATCGATGAAAGTCACAGATATACGGGAATTTTGATGACCTCGTTCTCTCGAAGAATCCGATGCACTAGAAAGATGCGAGTTAAAATATGCTAGGTTTCTAAAATCCTGAATGAAAAAGAGAAATACGTTTAACGATTAGATCCGTTCCGTTTAACAATTTAATTACAATCGAAAAATAAATCGATGATGTTTCTTTTTTTTCCTTTTTTCAAAATTTTCTTCCATCTTCGAAATTATATCGGCGATGATATACCGGGAGAAACTACACTGGGAATTCCTTTGTTTCAACAGTATTTATTACTCCTATTTATTACGAGAAAGCATAGAACTAATATCTCTCTCTCTCTCTCAAAATCAATTTTCTTCTAATTCCACAATGAGAATCACTGATCCGCAACAGGTGGATAACCGCGCGTTACGTAACAAATACACATATAGATACATACGAGAAGATTTCAAACAAAACCGACCAAGCCATATATAAAATTCGAATGAGTCAAATGCGTGTCGTAACATTTTACCCTTTTGTTTTTCCGATTCTGTCGATAACCCTCGATAGACAAAGAAGGAGAAAATTTTGAAAGCTCGTCGCATTTTGTAATTCTTTATTGTGAAACGAGAATATAGCGCGACAATTAGACCGCGAATGTAACGAATTTATCGTACGGTAACCATAGTTACTCTTATCTCGCCTTCCCTACTCACTTCTTCCATAACGTAGACTCGATTATCGACGCAATAAAATTTTAAAATTATGGTAACAAAATCCTATAATGAACATTGGTGGTGACATGGAAATTCATTAACCGGACAATTCATTAATTTTCACGATCGAGCGAAGAATGAATCGCGAGCAGAAATAAAATCGAAACGAGCAAGTTTAGAGTTGGAGGAAGCACGTGGCCGTCGCGGCGAGACGGGCAAGCAGTGAAAGTGAAACACGGTTCGAGGTCCACCACGTGGTCCTGACGTTCCACCCACCATTGTAGTATTACAAGTATCAGCTTTGATCCTCGAGCAGCACGGTTCTGCTCCAGATTATCGATCGTTCGTGAAACGAGGTTTCGTGATCCGTCGAAAAATCGCGATTCGACGTTTACGCGTGGTCAAAGTGTTTCTCAAGCGTTGTCAATTTTGTTTGGACACTTTTGGTCGTTCATCCCTGAAGCTATCTACAGAAGAAAGACGAAAGAAAGGAAAGAACGTGGAAAAATTTTGCGAGAAACGGGTATCGTTGTCGAGCAAGAATGCAAGAATCGGTTCACCGGTTCTAGTCCTTTCACACGCTCGCATAATCGGCGATAACTCGTGGAACTTTTATAGAAAGTCTCGAACGGTACAGTTACCAGTTTGATCGCGGCAAGGGGAGAAGAAAACGTTCGTGGAATATTTAGAAATTTCGATCGTTTATATATATATGTATATCATTTTCCTGCTGTCATTAAAGTAAAAGTTATTCCGGTGAAATGAAATTATCCGTTTAAAGATCGTTCACAATTCACCTACGCGATTCAACAACAGAAATGGTATATTCGACGTTTTATAAACGGAGGTAATTACCAAGGATATAGATACACTTTGATCGACGAGCACCGATTTCATTTAATTTCACAATTTAGTTTCAAAATTCTTTCTAATCATAATCACGTATTATAAATAGGAGTAGGATTATAAATAGAATCTAATAAATAAACGCGCAGACTCGATCCAGAGTTAATTACCAATCATTCGCGACCTCGGTGAAAAATTAGACGGCCTCGCCTCTCCGGTTTTCGAAAAATCCGCGCAACGTTCGGATCCGGGCAAGTATTTATCGTCTTCGAACTCGAGTATCAAAACAAACTACAAGACTATTATAGATAATTACTTTTCAAATAGACTTTGCCAATAGCTCGTGACGAACACCAACGGCCATGCCCATTGCGACAGATCCGAAATTCGTCGGCCGATCGTCCATTTCGAAACCGATGGAACACCGCTGCTAGCCAATTCCCTACACGCACGAGGTCGTAACCAACCTGTGAACGTGAAAATGGAGCACGAGGGGAAATATCTAACCACGGATCCACGTCAAAATTTCGAGTGGACAGTCACGGCCGATCTTTCTCCAAGTTTCCACCTGCTCGACCAGTCTCGATCGATCCAAGTAAAAGACCCGACTCTTTTCGATCTGGTTTATCTATATTATCCTGCTCGCGTCGAGCGTGTTGAAAAGTGGAAGAAGTGAAAGTGTTGGAACAATCGGCGTTACACAAATTTCCCGCCAATAATTCGAGAAAAGCAAATATCCTTCTCGGTCGCTGTCACTCGAACAACCGAAATGCACGCGTGAACGGAGAAGGCGCGAGCTTATAAATGCTTCTTGTGACAGGACTTTCCAAATTTCCTTGAACGTAAGCAGGTTCAAGTAGATAAATTGGCCAATCGACAGATACCATTTAAACCGAATCTTTCGATACGGTACGAATACGAATCGCCTCGTTAGTCGCATTTTTCTCGCATTTTCCTGGCGAACAATCGCTTACGTGATGGGAATCACGCGGATAAGTTCGAGAGTTTCGCGTGTCGAATAGTCATTTGACGATTTCCTCCGACTCCTTTTCACGAATTCTGCTCGGTGGCTCGCGTCGAACTGCATGTCGAATCTATCCCGAAACTTTACTGGAAAAGTTGCTGCGAACGTTTTGTCTCGAAAGTATGTATTTCTTTCTTTCCTTTTTTTTTTTTTTTTTTTTTTTTGAGCGTGTCCACGGATTCTATGATCGAGTACTTTGATTGCAGATGATGCGGGCATCGTCGATCGAGTTATTGGTCGTCGGCCTGTCGCTATTGCGCTTCGTCGATCCTGTTCACAACAGTAACGTTCAGAGGTCTTCGGTGAGCTATGACCCGTCTGTTCCTTCTATTACGCACTCGGATATGCATAATGTTCGGAAAGTTCGCGAAGGATACGATTCCTCGACCATCGACGAGCATTTGCCACGCGCGAGCGAAGAGAAGGCTGTTGACGGTTTGGATTCGTTGAGTTATCCTGAAAGAATATCGAAAGAAACGATATTTCTGCCAATACCCGCTATACCGATGGAATATCGTAGTTATCGAAATCATGGGTTGAACGATCGTTCGAAGAAGGAAGATGAGATAAATTCCAAAGAGGAAGATAAAGAGAGTAGCTCGGTCGAGGGAGAAATTATAGAAAAAATGAAAATTCTCGATAAATTTTTATCCGAAGATTCGAATGCAAAGGATCTTGATATAAATGGAATCGAGGATAATATCATCCCTGAAGAGTCGAAGAGAGTCGTCAGAGAGGTGAAGAAGCAAAAGCCAGGATTCTTTTGGACTCTGGCAAAACTCACATTTGAGGTAAAGTTTATTGTGATTCATCTTTCGTTCGAAACTGATATAAAATAAATTCCGTTCCTTTTCAGATGATCAACGACACGAAATCAGCGATCAAGCAAATCAGTGATATTATCAACAACAGTATAGCGCCAGATTCGGCCACTCAGAGTACGATGACGAAGGCGGCTTTGACGGTTCCACAATCGACGAATAATGAAACGAACGCGACCAATCTGAACGCAACAGAAACAACGACAGAGGCGTCTACGACTACCACGCAACCCACCTTGACCAGAGACGATTTGCAAAAATTAATCAGGCGAAACGTGTTGGGCCTCGTTAAACTTTTTAACATTGAGTGGAATGACGCTCTGAATGTAAGACAATTTTTAATTTGTTCTTTACTTACTTTCTTGTAAATTTCCTTCTGATGCTCTGACATCGTTAACTTCCTTTTTTTTCTTTTTGAGATTTATTAGTTCGTTTCTTCTTCGATTTCTCGTAAAGATGAGTGTTTAATCGAGGGAATAAGATTAAATTACTATTCAAATTGTTAAAAATTAATTGAATATTTTGTAGAACCGCTTCTTTAACGTATTAGGTTGTACTACATGAAGTTGCCGATTTAGAAAATTACAATCAATTGCGACTTGTAAACTTAACCTATATTTTGCTTAGCCTATATTTAACCTATATTTTGATGAACCTTCTATATTCCTTTTGTGATAAATTCTTTTTTTGTATCAGTTTAGATGTTTTTTGAGAAGTGAGAAAATTTAAAATATTATTCCTATGATGAGTTTAAACTGGGCCAATCGAAACATATCGAAATATTAGATTAACTTTCGAAAAAGACTCTATCAACGAGAGAATCGTTCAATGATGATTTCAAAAATTCAGATCTCATAACAAATGAGAATCTTGAAAATGAATCCCAAAATTAAATCTTAATCTATTCACTCATCAGATATTTCACTTGTTTATCACTTGTTTCATTACTTACACTCGTTTTTAAAAAATATTTTGATTGAATAAAGATTATAGTTTCGAAAATAAACTATTTTTCTTCCGACCAACAAAATGACAATTTCATGTAGTACGATCTAATATTATCTTCTATGTTTATTAAAGGAGAACAATTCAAGGAGAACAATTTTTTTCATTTAAATTATTTTAAATTTCTGATTATTTTTCTTGGATCCAAATTTTAATCTTTGATCCATTTCTATTGTAAATTAATTAATAAAATATTAATATTTTTTATATTCTCTCTTTCCAGCAATCGGAAACGAACGTGAAAGAGTTCCAGAAGAATCTAGGAAACCAGGTGGGCCTTTATCTTCGTGATAATCCAGAGGCATACAAGGATTTTTAGAGAACTCTTCTTCACAACAATCCTTAGTATTCATTCTCGTAGCATGTAGTTAGCAAAGACTGAAACGTATTATTTTAAAAAAATTATTATTATTTATAAAATTGTGGTTCTCTAATCCACAAGAACGTGTAATTATTTACCATTCGAATTAAATCAGAGTTGAAAGTGAATCAAATTGTCATAAAAATAACTCCAGATGATTTCAGAAAAGTTTACCAACAACATTACATCGTAGTAAAAGAGGCGAAGACGATCGAGAAACATTTCAAAAACGCTCACAAAAGATCTTACGTCATCTAGTAAAGATCATCGTCCGATATTTATGTAACACAGACCCCACGCACTCGGATAACTAGTGAAAGAGAAAGAACTCTTAGGGAGTTAAGGCGCGAATTCGAGAAAACGATTGCGACGAATAGAAAGCACGATTGGCGGATTTCGATTGGTTGATACGAGGCGTGGGTTCACTCGATTCGCTCTTATATGTGGATCACGGAGACGAGTCAGCAACTATGTGTGATCAGTGCTCTTCTGTGCGAATCGCGAAAGTCGGATTTTTACATTTCTAAACGAGGGTTGTAGATATATAAATCATAGTGAGTATAACGTACGTTAATTTTTGCATATTTGATAAGTCGTTACGAGTAATTTATAGTTTCGGTTGTTAAAATTTATTCATCATAAAATATGAAAAGAAAATTGAATCGTTAAATAAAATGGATGTCGTAAATTAACATTGTCGTATATAATTGTTGTATATAAATTTTATAAATATAAATTTATAGATTATTTCAAAATATGATTCTCGCTATTCGAGCCTATTGAAAGTAGGCTTTTTGAATATTATTAATATCTTATCGAAACTAGATTTCTAAAGATCATATTAATTATACGATGACCCAATAATAATTCTGTTTACGATATCGCGTATGCAAAAATAACACGATCTCTGAGGAAAGAGAGAAAAGGCGGGGCTGAAAATCAAGATTAGTGGAATAGAAAGGATCAATGGTCAATATGTACTGGATTTTAAGAGCATCGTGATTGGTCGATTCGCACTTGAGGGATCCTGAAATCATCCTTTATAGACCAGAGGATCGTCTTGTAGTTTGTGGATTAAGGAACTCAGTGGACAGTCAAAATTTACGGCAATGTTTGCAATCGTTTTCGTTGTTCTTAACATCATCGTTTACGCGATTGCCTCGGAAGTGGTAAGTTATTTTTGGAGATTAAAAAATTCAAAATTTGAATTCAGAGTATTGATATTTTGAAAACAAGAAAAGAAAAAGAAAAGAAAAATGTTAGTGACGTATTTTTAATTTTTTTAACGTGATAGAACTTTTTTTTTTACGTGATAGAAACGCAAATAGAAGCATAACACAAAGCAATAATGTTTGTTTAAAACAACGCACGCTGACATTTCGATTATCGGTTGTCAAGCGGAATATCATTCGACGTTCTTTATACGTAGAAAAGAGAAAGCTGTCGAGAAAATTATTCTCTCTCCGTATTTACAACTTCACAATGGTATTTTCTTAATGTAGAATAATTTTATATTCTAATAATTTTGGGCACTTGTCCACCTACGTATATACTTGTTTTGAATTTATTATTTCAGCCGACCCTTCATCGAATAAGACGACAAGATTTTTCAAACGAAAATGGTCAAGTGATAGACAAGATTTTTAACGTGAGTTATAATAAAAAATAATAAATAATAATAATAAATAATAAAAAATATTCAATCTCTTTCCTCGCCTTCTCGTTTTCAACAAAATTTAATTATCCCAGATACCAATTACCGCGATCAAGCAAACTGCAACCGTGGCACAATCGTTCAATCAGGAAAATTCTCAGACGATCGATAACGTGTTCAAGGTATCGTATTTACAATCCATCCTATTGATTCTTATATTAACCTCGTACAAATATTTCGTAGATTCCTATTTCGACTTTGGAAGCTGTTGGAACCCTCGTGAAGGCGACATCCGAGCAAAGACGACGGAATGCCGACGATGCGCAACGAATACGACAGGAGAGAAGAGACAGAATATCGGCCCAAAGAGAACGGCAAAGATTTCAAAGAGAACAATTGCAACAACAACGTCTGAAACAACAACTCGTGAAGAAGACCATCAAAAATAATGACAAAGATCCTTTCGATTTGAACACGTTGTCTCTGTTGTTTAGCAATCATGGTGTTCTAGGAAGTATTCAAGGAACGTTTGGTGGTTACAAAGGTAGTCATGGTGATCAAGGTACACACGTCTGTAATTCGAAATTAAATATTCAACGTTAAAAAATGTAGATCTTCCATGTAAGATATTTTGTAGAAATTCATGGAGGTCAAGGAAATGCAGGAGGTTACCAAGTTCACGAAGATATAGAAGAAGATACGAACTATTCTTGGCACGGAATCACAGCTGGAATCGGTACGTTTTCCGGTTCTCGACCAACCAGCACACGCGTCACCATACAAAATAAGATCGCCGTTAAGGACGAAATACCAAGCGACCATCTTTACGATACGGAACAAATACAGAACAAGATCGCTCCAAAGATCAAAGGGGATAAATTGAGACACGAAGAAGACCTCCCACTGCAGAACAAAATTGCACCCAAGACGAATAGGATATCGTTCAGATCGTAAAAATAATTTTAAACATATAAAATAAATAAAATTTCTTTTTCACGACAATTCTTACGTGACCATTTGAGTGGAGCAACGTATCAATCGTTTCTATTGGCTAATTTTCGCTCTAATCGGTAGCCGATAAGTACGTGAGTCACGTCGTATCGTTTATGCAAATAACGAAATGATAGAACGATGATGATGCTCGGAGAAAGTAAGTTGCAACAGAAATTAGTAATATTATTTTTCGTTCCATGAAATTGCGGATTGTGGAAGTGACTCGACGAATTTTCTCGATCCACGAATCTCAGAGTCACGTTTATACCGGCGAAAAATTGCGCCTGTTCGAACGTTAAAATGCGCGAGTCGTTCCCGCGATACGGAAAACATTTTGAATATAGCATCACTCAACTTGAATAACGAGAAGCGTCCAACTTATATATTATGCATTGGATATTCGAATAAAATTCTTCTTCTTCTTCTTCTTCTTTTCTTTTTTTTTTTCTTTTCTTTTCTGTGCACGATTGATATTCCATTGAACCCCTGACAGAGGAAGATAGGCGCATATTAAATGAGCAGAAAATAATTTTAAAGAATGGGATCCGTGGTTCGTTTCTATGAACAATTTTTCTTTTTTTTTTTATTTGTATATACAATAAATATAAAACATTATGGATAAATCTATAATAAATGATAATTAATCCATGACGGAATATTAAATTATTCCGCGATTATCACGATTTCTTTGCACTTATTTTAAACGTGTTCGTTACAAAACAAGGTTAAATGATTCATATGGATTAGTAATCGTTTGAAAATAAAATAAAATAAAATAAAATGCATTTTTCGATTTTAAACATTATACTCGCTATTATATTTGTGAAACATATTGATTAAAAGTATTATTTTCGGATAATTAAAATTCTGAAGATACGATAAACGATGTTTAACGATAAAGATAATAATATGCGCAAAATTGTTCGTTAAATATATATAAATATATATATATATATATATATATGATTTGAATGTCAATGGAATTTTTAAAAAGTGATTTATCAATTTAACCGAACGAAAAGAATTATTCATGTGTAAATAATTTAAATTTCTTTTTTTCAAAAGTTTAATGTATGGAAGAAACAAATAACGCTCCAACGTTTGATTCAACTTTGATACAGGAAATTATCTAACATTGCTTCTCATTTTTTTTTTTTTTTTTTTTTTTTAAATCGCTTTAATCGTTATAACTTTGGCGTCATTCGTGCCCACATTTGAAACAAGTTTATTAATCACTACTTCATTAATATTACTCTTTTTGCCGCGAATACGATACAGCGATATGTATTTTTCCGATACATAACATTTCTAAATATTCGATTCAGATTGTCATCATCTTAATAATCTTTTTCCCAAAATCATTTCCAATTAAAGAGAAGATAGAATGAAGACAAAATGACAAAATCATTTTAAGAGAACCACGATACTTTTACTTTATTAAATATATTTCGTACACCTGAAAGGTATGTGCAATACTCTCGACACTTTGTTCCGCTTGCAAAGACCGAAGAAGGAAATGAATGCCTATTGTTCCCGATCAGTCGTGTCGTCCTTGACCCCCGCAATCATAGTTCATTCGACGAACAATCGAATAAATCTACGATCGATTCTCATCGCGCACAAAGAGACTGCCACGAGACTGGCTCGTTCGTCGGCTACGTCAGTTTATCCCTTCCCGAAGAGAAGGTGAGATGTCTTCGAGGTCTTTTTAGAAATCGGTGGTAAATGCGTTAGTCTGCCGGTTGCTCGGCTCAGTCAGAAACAGAGATGCTGTGCAACAAGGTTGATCTCGCGTTCGTGCTTGGTTTACTCGCGTTTGCACACGGGATGCCTGCGGATAGTCAGAGTAACGAGAGGGTGAGTATTTTTTATTTTCGAAAATATTAAAATAAAAAATATAACGCGCACATTTGTTTTCATTCGTTGGATGATCGTGAAATTCGTGATGGGAAGCTTAAAGCTTTCTTTCATATTTTCATGATGATGATGATTTACGAAATTTGGACAATTCTTCAATTCTTCGGAGCCACGATAAATGTGAAATCGATCCTTCTCGAAATTGTAAAACATTTGTTTTGTATACGACGAATGAGTTTCTTAAACTTTCTAACTTCGTCGAGAGTAACGCGACATTAATTAAAGTAAATAACATCTAAACTTTCTTTTTATATTGGAATAAGTGATTGGTGATGTGAAAAAAAAAAAGAATGGGATTGAAAACAAAATATAATGATACAGGTATGGGAAGAGTAAATGGAAAATGGAAAAAAAGTGATGACGGAACAGCCGTTAGGTAATGGACAGGCGCAACCATGAGAAAGGAGTGCGGAAGTGCCGTTACATTATAATGTTTCTTAATGATTATACGATGACTTTTAACTTATTTACCCAATTATTTCGTTAAACGCGATTAATGTTCCTCGAGTATAAGTTTAATGAAATCGTTATAATGATAATTCCTTATCGAAAAACGATTTCACGAACGAAAACTAAACAGATGAACAATTATGTAAAAAAAAAACCTAATTTGTAATAATAAGTTTTCAATTCCAATTGCACGTTACATCGCGTATCTTTTTTTTTTTTTTTGTACTATTATTTTTGCGCCATTATCAATCGTTATATATAAATAAATAAGCAATGTCGTTTCAATAACATTAACATTAACACGTATATACAATAATAAATACTAATAAACCATTATGTAATCGTAAATTATACCGTTCGTTGCAAGAAGGACCAGAAGATGAAAATTATTAATTTTTACATTTTTAGAAAAACAACAGTTTATTGGCCAACATTGACTTGCAAAATTTCGCAACGTTGTAACTTCATCATTACTTTCGAAGATGCAACAATTTATATAAGAAAATTTTTGTAAAAAAAAAAAGAACGTAGAATCTAATTAAATATTTTCAATCCCAAAAAAAGGAGCTCTTCTTGCACATCCAACATATAATTATAATTCCTCCTTTAATCCTAAAATTGAAAAAAACCCACGGAAAATGTGACCAAACCAGCACACGTTCGACCTATATTTCTGACAATACAAATGATATTCATCTATAATTGAAATATGAATTGAAAACTGATCCAACCTGTTCAATTAAAATTATCTAGCATTTCAAAACTCTTTTCAATCTTTCGAGAAATTCCATGTTGTCGTTCTTTCTTCGTTTCTTCCTTAACGAAAATTTAAACAATTCGAGGAAATATTGCAACGAGACATTTTAATCGATATCAATAATAATAAAAGATTCGCATTAATATTCGCAGCTTCCGTTGATTCAGTTCACCAACGGTGGAATCCGATTCAATTTCGCGGGCTACCATGCTGCAGCCGGGTTGGGTGGTCTTCTAACCGGGTCGAATACAGGTGGTGGTCTCCATGCCAGCGTGGGGACGCCATGGGGCGGCCATGCGGCCGCTGGTTTGGGCGGCACACTCAATGGCGACAATGCGAATGCTGGCCAGTATTGTTTATATATATTTTGATTTTTACAGAAAGCAGAGAACGGAAATAAAGATTAATTTATATTTTATGAATCGACGAACAGGGGGAGGGCTTTATGCGAGAGCCGGGCTTGGGAACGGAAGACACGAAGCCGCGGCCGGATTAGGCGGCTTGCTGGACGGAAGTGGGAGGTCAGCACCTCTTAGGGGAGGCCTGTACGCCGGTGCCACCACTGGAACCCATGGACTCGGATTCACAGCTGGAGAAATCCCTAGAGATTTGTTCGGTGCTGGACCCAGTGACGGACCCAGTGATGGGCCGAGTAATGGACCTAATGGACCTAGTAATGGACCTAATGGACCTAGTAATGGACCGGATAATGGACCAAACGATGGAAAAGATGGAGAAGGAAGTAATGGGAAAGGGCCGAGCAGGGGTACGTCGCATATTCAAATAATCTCCCGTTCGGGAAAAAACTCGAAAAAGGTTTGTCCAATAATCTTGAATTTGTATCATCGTATTAAAAAAGAAAAAAAGAAATATTGAAATAACGTTTGCTCGTAGAAGAATGAAATATCTAAGGAGGCTCCGAAACAAGAAGCTGATTTTTCGTCGAGTAAAGAGGTAAATCGTAACCGGTTCGTAGGTTATAGTGGATTTAATTAACGCGTGAATACAATTATATCAGATACGTGAAGTATTACCCATCGAGCCGGCGCCTCTCGCTCAATTAGCCCCTGTTTTATCCAAAGAGACGAACGAAATCGTACAAGTTGGTAAGAATTAATGGTAATTTCGTATACTCGTTTCTACTTTTTTAAGTGATTTCCAGATGTTCTTCCTCGTCGAAGCAGATTCTTTCAGAGGAAAAGGCTGAGGGGGTCTAGAGCGAAGGTGATAGAGGAGAATACAGAAGAGGATCAAAATTCGAATATTCAAAAGCGTCAGACAATTTATTACTCGGATAAACCTGATTCTTCGGATAGAATTATGACGATACCGAGTGGGAACAATAATGGCTTCTTCGATGATATTTTTCAGGTAGAGGAAATGTATTTATTTTGAATTTTTAGAAAGGCGAAAACATTAAATTTTTTAATTTTCTTTAATTTAATGCTTTTAATTTTTATTTTTAATTCTTTTAATTCTTGCAGATACCAATATCAACGCTGAACGCTGTAAACCGGTTTTTAAACAATAGTACTGGTTAATTTAACTTTCGTGTAAACGTCCATTCCTCGTATTTTATATTTACAATTAACGATAATGAAATATAATTATTTCAAGAGAATAGTAGTAGATGATAATTCCTTAAGAAAGTTTCTTAATAAAATATATTATAAATATATTATAATTATTAGTTTTGCGATTTTTATTAGCATTTAAAATTTATCATAAGTTAATTTGAAGTTATTTTTCATTCTAAATTTTATATTACTAATAAAAAGACTGGTCTATTGTTATTATTTCTTACATTGTACGTAATAAATATGTGTACATCTGATTAAATAAATTATCTGATTCAACGTTACATTATATATTCAATGTATCCTATTGCACAAATTTACGTCATGTAAAAAAAAAAAACCGATAAATTGCGATAAATTAAATTGCAAGCTTGACAAAACTGGGGGAATAATAATAGTTTAACGTTTAACGAAAGCCAAGGACAAAGTTTTGGATATCGATGCTAATGCTCATTACACTTATTACGAGTTATTCGCTATCAATGGTAAAATAGTTTGACATCATGCGGTTCAACTATATAAATAAAAGGCAACGACAAAAGCGACCAAAATAAAAAGACGAGGAACGAAGCGTTTTTATTTTTCTTTTTGTCGAAGAAAATAATAAAAGGAGAAGAAGAAGAGCCAACATGAACGCGATGAAAGTGATTGGATTTTTGCTATTCATTGCATCAATTGCAATGTTGGTTAAAGCACAAGTAAGATTGCAAAATTTATTTTAATTCTTTGATATTACTTTTTTAAATGTTGCTCGACACTCCATCAAAAAAAAAGAAAAAACACTAATGTTGATTTTAATGATTTTTCAGATTAGTCCCTCATCAGGTGAGAAATCTTATAGAAAATATTTGTTCATTTGGTAAAAAATTTTTTAAAACATATTAATATAAATTTTTTAAAATGTATTATATTCTTTGATCGATAGAAGATGCATCGATATAATTTATAGATTAATAAAATTAAAATTAAAGGTTTGCAGGTTTCAAGTACGATTTCAGATAAACATGGATCGTCTACTGTTGCGCCGAAAGGTAACTTTTCAAAAGATAAAAAATTGATAAATATATTAAAATAAGATAAGACAGAGATATAGAGGGATAATTATTAAAATTAATTGATTTAATTATTACAGGAAAAGGAAATTCCAATCCCATAATTTCTCTTCTCTCATGTATTTTGGAGAATGTAGGCAGTAAGTTTATTAAACTTCCTTACAAAACAGATCGTTGAATCCGACGATCGATACGGAGCAAAATTATGATCACGTTTTTAATAAAAATTTCATTTCTCTTCGAATTTAGAATTACTTAGAATTACCTTAAAAATTGTACTTTATCCGTAAAAGTAAATAATTCAAATATACATATTCATCGAAATATTTTAATGTATAATAATATTTAGATCTACTCGGGATATCCCTCGGTGGTATAGTGAAGGATCTTGGATCTTTAATTTCCTCGGATGGTTCATTAAATTTATCAGGACTTCTTTCCGATGTTACCGCCATCTTAAACATACCGCTCGATGCAGTATTTTCTGCCCTTCAAACTGGAAATCTATCACAACTCACGAAACAGCTTCAACCTTTGGTCGATAGCTTATTAAATATACCTATAGTTGGCTCCATATTATTACTTCTATCGAATGTTCTCCAGGTAAATTTCCTTCGATATAACCCTCTCGTGTTAATTGTTATCGTGCTTATCTCTATTTTGACCGATAAAAAAATAAAATGGTGTTTCAGATTCCAGTTTCTCTCGTCGTAGCTGTACTCAGTTTGGTTCTCCACATCGTTAAAGCATTACTCAGTCTTCTTTTGGGGATACAAGTGAAATTTTGATATATCCTATAAATCTACCAACATGCATATATATATATATAAATCTTTAACAAATTGTTATTAAAAAATTGTATTTCAAAAAATATATTTATATTGCAAAGTTTCTCTTCTTTTTCTCTCTCTTCATCTTTCACGTCTCCCGCAGTTTCAATTTCGAATAGTTTTCCCTCTAATCGATCGATCCATAAAAGCGCGCGAAACGATATCGAAGACGACATCCGCGCGCCGACATTGCGGAATGAATCGAAAGAGAAAGTGCGTTTCGTAAGAACATAGACCAACTTCAATATCGGAATGGAATGGAACTTCTTACAGTCTACCTGTGACTGCGTGTCAAGAAACACGAATTCGTGATCGTCGATTCTTAATTTCTGAAACCCTCGGTTGTTTTGATTTCGTGTGAGAACGATTAAGAAACACAGGAAAAAGAAAAAAAGGAAAGAGAACGTGTCGCGAGCACGCTTCCGGGTTTCACGGTCACTTTTATTTAAGAAAGGCCGAGTCGCGATCGAACGAGTTCATTTTCCTTTCCAGAATCACGAAGATGCGAAGAATTCTTTGGGAACGAGAAATCTCGAAATTTTGTATTATTCTACTCTGCTGTCCCTTTGATCTATCCGTTTGCCTGCCGGCGGAGCAACCGATTAGATACACGTTGAGCACCGGTGACTTAAAAACGAGAGATACTGGCACGCCGTTCAATTTTGAACAAAATCGAGTGAGTATATATATTTATTTTAACATGGATATTCATTATATTTATCTTACGATGATCAACGATTCTCTCGATGCATTTTTGTGACACGTTGGCACATAACAAGAACGTGAAGGGAAAGATCGAAAGGTTCGATTGATGATTATCAGATTTGATGATCAGGATGAATGATGGTCAAGTCAATTTCGGTTTTTGTAGGAATCGTATCGTGGACGCGGTAAGAATCGGCTTAGAAAGATTTGTGAATTCCGTCACATTAGCGTCATAGTCGATGTCGCTTTTTGCATTTTTGATAAACCTTCGTTGACGGAAAAAAATATATAAAAAAAGAAAATGTGGAGTAAGTAATTGGAATTGTGGCACGAAGCTGTCAATTTCTCCTGATCATTCATCTTTTTTCTCCGATTCTAATTCATTTCCATTGAAATGAAAAAAAAAAAAGAAAAAAGAGAAAACATTGAGAAATGCAAAGCAAATAAGCAATATCATCTCTCGATAGTCTCGTTATTATTATTTAGCACAAGGCTATTATTTTTTCCCCCTAATTATACGTAATTATATCGAATCAGTGTGACGAAGCAAAAAAATTCTCAACGTTGAACATCGCGCATAATTAACTCGAAACATTATTACATTAGATATCCGGTGGAATATTAGCATAGTGGAATATTGCTTCACCGAGATTCACGATTAAGAAACACCGAGTGAATTGTACGTAAAATTATATATATCTATATATACATACATGCACCAATACGTTTATGAAACAGGCAGTGACGATCGAGTCGCAAAACAACGTGGTTACAGTGGAGAAGTCGGTGTCCATGAACTACGAACCGATACAGTTTGGAACGACCGAGTATCCTCCAGTGACAAACACCCATTCAAGCGCTCGTGAAACCGTGAGATTGGAGAACGAGACAGCGCAGAGTTTTTTCGAGAGGCCAATCTCGAAACCCATCGCAAACGTGTTGGATTCCTTTTTGAAACCTACGCCATTGGTCGACGGTATCAAGGAGGAAGAAAAATATGGAAATTCAGGAGACAAGTTTATCGGAATTGGTCGTGCTCTGGTCACTGGTTACCAAGAATTCAGCAATTTTCTCAATGCTCTCGTTGACGTGAGTCTATAATCGAATAATGGAATAATTTGAGGTGAATTTTTCTTTTTTTTGAACGAACTGAAAATCGTTTCCAGTTCCCGCGTAAAACTGCAAAAAAGGCTAGCTCGGAAATCTCAGGGATGCTGAATTATATCGGTGCACGGCTGATCGGATTGGAATAACGAGCAGCGTAAATATTTTGGATAATCAAATTCTAATTATCCAAAATTTGTGGTTTTGTTTTTCATAATTTTATACGTTGAATAAATTTTTTTGTTTTTTATCAAATTATCTTAAGAATTGTCGAAAAAGTGATGTATCGGATGCGAGAAATGCACGAAGAATTGTCTCATAAATATATTATTTATTATCTGAACGTTACACGTACACAACGAGGCTCGCGTGATACGATCTCGATGCAGCTCGATCGTCGCGACCTCGTAGCGTGGCAGGCTGCGTTCGAAACCACGCACTTCTTCAAACGTACACTAGGCGGTCAAGTGTCGCTACTTTATCGACAACTTATTACGCGATAAAAAAACGTACACGATGCACGATCGACACACCCGAGGATTTAAAGCTAGGCGAGAGAAAAATCCACGAGGATTGTGTAGTGTTTCCACGGGTGGGGTCGATCCGATTTTAAAACGATAACGAGAATAAAAATAAAAATTGTGCTCGCGCTCGCACGACCAGGCAAAACCGTTGAAACGGAACGGAAAAAGAAAAGAGAAGAAAAGGAAAAAAGAACAATATTGACAAAGCGATTCGTAGCGCCTGGTCGTACGTAACGAATAATTTTGGTATGATTCGTGTGCGATTACCTTATCTCTAGTAAATAAAACAGGTTCGCATGCAAGGTAACATAAATATTCGTATCCTACTATATAAAATTCTCTCCTCTACTTACTATCTACTTCTACAAGATTCGTTCCACCGATCAAACTCGGCGAGTACGTCGTTATTATTCTTACTTACATCCGACCTATTTTGTTAAAAGCTCGTCAAATTATTCAGCTGGATGAAGGCGGAATCGCTTATCGGGTCTAACGACCCATTAAAATAATGGCTCGTCTCGTGTCTCTCAGAAGCCATGCTTATTAATCGTCTCGTTCCACCGTCTAAGCTCGTGGACGAGTTTAACGATAATTCGCTCGCGTTTCTACTCGATTTCTACTAATTCTAGAAGAAGAAAGGGGCGTACATTTTCGCAAGAAGGGAAGGAAAACAATTTACAGGGGGATCGAGATATCGGCCGAGAGGCATACAGGGGCAACGATCCCAGATCCTCTTCGTATCGGCGGCGAAGAAGATCGCGATCATTGGCGTGCGATATACATGTGCGTGTATATATATATATATATGTATATAAAGTTTCGATGGATCTTAGACGCTGGTCTCGTCTAAGATCCATCTGAAATTCTAGGTGTTGGTGGTATCGTAACTCTTGTACGTGTGGGACGACCTCTTGTGCCTGACGGTGCAGAAGAGGATCATGCTGGCCACTTGGCCGAACAACTGGAGGAAGGCCACCACGAGGCCAACGGTCCCGACCACGTGCAGCCTGGTCACCAGCCACATTTGAATAGCTGTCGCGCAGCCTTCCTTGTACCAGAGCTCCTTGTTACGCCCCTCGGAGTCGAGGCGACCGCAATACCGTTCTCTCTGCACGCAACAGGAATCGGGCACGCGGTCCTCCGTCGGCCAGGCGTCGATTCGGAACCAATCCGTGTAATCCCGCACGCCGCAGCAGTGGAACTGAAATTTTTTTACGCTTTTCTTAGTGAAAAAAAAAGATAACACGATTTTTTCCAAATTATGAATTTCTCTCTCAAGGAGAGTATCTACCTCCGTGTGTATGTGGTCCCATATAGCGGGAAGAGTTCCAGGTTCCCTGGTCAGGTTGTAATGCTTCTCGATGCCGAACAGCAGCTCGTCCTTCAAACTCTTGGCTAGATGTTCCCTGAAGATGAAGGCCAGGGTGCCCAGCATGAACTCGCCCAGGAACATCAGTATCACCAAACCGAAGTACTGTAGGGAAGAAGGACAGGTTGAAGGGCCGATGAAGACGAAGGAAAGACACACGGGATACGAACCGTGATTAACATGCATCTCGATTGAAACCACGCGCCGCAGCATCCGAAGAAGGCGATTACGAAGGTCACGCATCCGGCGGCGAGCAGCAACGAGTCAGCTGACGCGAAACTGTAGTGCGGCACCAAGGTCGTGTATCCGGAGTAAGCCAATCGGAGCCAGAGGCCTGCACCCAAAATTCCGCAAGCGCATAACTGTAAAAATGATTGCACGAGTGAGGACGCCGGCCTGGCCTGGTTGCTCTCCACCGTGAAATCGTGTGAATTTTTCTATCGCCCGATATCATCCTCCTTTTCTATTTCTTCTTTTCTCTTCTCTCCTCTTCTCTTTTCTTTTTTTCTTCGCGTAAACAGGGAACGTGATAAGGAACGCGAGTGAGACGACACTTAGAGAGAAAGGAGCCGCGTAAAAAAAAATCGAATCGCAACGATGATCTCTCCTCGACTTGATTATTATTCGACGCACAATTATGCAATGCGATAACGCCCGCTTCCCGTATCACCGTTCCACTCTCCGATCTTGCGAAACGCGCGAATCGCGAGGTCGAGCGCGACTTCCCGTGACTGCGCGTGGTTACTCGATCTTCGAGCTCGAGGTTTACGATTTTCCATTCTTGCCACTTTTAGCCTTAAATTCGAATCAGTCCCGAAATCAGGGGGATTGTGATGGATTGTGAGAAAGGGAAGGATCGTCGTGGATCGCGGTTTCTGGATTATTCGGGGTTTAAAAGTGGGTCGAGGAAACTCTCGTACAACGTTCTCGGAACAACTCGATTCTTTATTCCCTTCGTTATCCGTTGCCTCGTCTCGAGGTCTTACGATTATCGTTTCAAAGGATATTCGAAATTATCGCGTCGGTGGCGAGGACAGGTGAGGAGGCAGCATTTGCTCCCGAACAAATCGTGGACGTGGAGTGGTCGAGAGGGGCGAGATTAGAAGGTATATTGACCTTTTCCTCGGAGATTGTTGCGGTTTAGTAATTTGCCCTCCGATGCGCCGTCCTCCGAGACGAGATTAAAGGCATCGTTGTGCGCGAACAGACGTCATTTACGATTTCTACCGTTCCTTTGTTCAACTGCTTCAATTTTAGCTCGTCATCCGCACAACTCGCCCGTTATATCTTGCCACCATTGTTCCGACCAATTGTACGCGTCCCTTTATTCCTGAGCGTTTTCGAAATATTATAATATCGACCCGAATCGTACTTTTTCCGATCTTTTTTCTCACGTCCCAACGATCTACGTTCCAACAAAATCGTTAGGATAATTCATCTGTCCATTTCGTCGAGTTCGTCGAGTTGACGAAGAGGTGGAAAATCTGGGTCGAGACAAGATAGGCCGGTAATCGGGCGGAATATCGAGCCTCGGGGCGATACATCGAACCGATGAAAAATTAGCATAAGCTTGTCGCGACGAGGCAGCGTTATCCAATCCAGTTAAACTAGTTGGAACGAAGTAATTTAAGCTTAAGTCGGGTACTTGGGATGGAAACGGGATCGAGTGCTCCACCGACCCAATATCCCGGTCAAGCTTTATCGGCGAGCAGCATCGCGATACTGGATGGACCGGGACGAATAAATGGACCAACGGTCCGCTCGATCGGACGATTAAACGCCGCTCGATTTACGCTGCCCGCGAAACCGGTACCGTTAAGTTTCATCTCGTCGATGAAACAGCCGGGTCGACTGTTGATTAGAAAACCGAGTGCGCGCTCGAGCGGTGCGGTTTTCGGTGTGGACGATCGGCTGGAATCGATTGAAAATCATCGATTAAAAATAGATTTTGTAAGAATAGTGGATCGATGGATCGAGATTTCGCGGGAAATATTTCGTTGGAAAATCGTGCTTGATTGATCGACAAACTTTAAAAATTACGATTAAAAATGAGAATCTTGGAAAGTTGCATTTGTGTTTTAGAAATTAGATTGTACTTTATGAATCTTGGAAAGTTGCTTCTTCCCAATCGATAAAATTTTGCGAAAAAAAAGTATTCGTGCTCTTTGACTAATCGACAAACTGCAATTTTGAAAACGTTAAAAATTACGAATATATTTATGAGAAAATTATTGACCAAACTGCACCTTTGCATTGATCACCTAGAATCGTTGAAAATTAAAAACAGATTGCATTTCATAATTCTTCTGGAAAGTTATTCCATTCCTAACTGATAAACTGAAATTTCTTTAAAAAAAATACGTTCGAAAAATCGTATTCCAAATTGCGAATTTTAGATCGCCCGGAATCAAAAACTATAATTAAAATTTCATATTCATATTCGATCCTCGATTCGCAAAAGAAAAAACTGTTTCAGCGCGCGAACTGGAATCCTTTATTCATTTATTTATTAAGAATACGTAATTAATTTCCCAAAAAACTCGAAGAAAAACTATTTATATTCCTTGATCAATCGACAATTAACAGAACGGTCAAATACTCCTCCGACCGATCGACGATTTCCTTTTCTCCCTCCTTCCGTCCCCTTCTGACTCTTCGCGCAGTATTTTATTTTTACCGCCGTCCTTGACGCGTCAAACTGTCTCTCATAAATCAAAAACGCGCGACGATAGTGAGCAACAAAAAAAAAAAAAAAAAAAAAAAAACGGGAGCGCACCTGTTGAAAAGACCGAGAAGGAAGAGTCGTAGCCCCAATCTTCTCTCCTCTCTTCTTCTCCGGGTACCGTAAGCGAGTTGATAGCTCGTAGAGCACGGTTCAACGTCCTATTTAAGAGCGGCGCGCGGGGAGCAACGGGGGCGGTTCGAAATGGTAAGATGTATCGGCGAGCGAGGAAGGGAGGGAGGGAGGGAGAAGGAGGAGGAGGAGGAGGAGGAGGAGAGGAATGGCTGTGGAATGCAGCGGGAATGACAATGCTCGCCGATTTGAACGGGCGCGTGGGCCGTTTCCATCATCGCGCGCCGCTTCTCTTCTCCGCGGCATCGGTGGAAACGAAACTTGGTCGATCGTGTTTCGCGAACGTGACACGCTTGCGGACACGTTCGACCAGCCGTGTTTTCGATTCGCGTGCCGCCATCTCGGCGGAATCGCGGCCGACGTTTCGTTTCGACTCGTCTGAGAGAGAGAGAGAGAGAGAGAGAGAGAACCAGAAGGTCTTGCGCGATGATGAAATTGGATGAAATCACACTAGCTCTAGTGAAATCTGAATAAACACGACGTAAATACGATCGTAATCGGTATTTTTATATAACGAATACGACAAATAAATTCCAACTTTAATTAAACTTGTTGAACGAGCCGAGGATGAGACTGGTATTCGAGTCCCTTTTTCTAGAAGCTATTATTGATAAAAAAAAAAAATGAAATTTCAAAACATGTTACGTAACATTTATTATTATCAATAAATCACGAATTTATAATAATAATAAATATAATAATAATAATAATAATAATAATAATAATAATAATAATAATAAATATAAAATAATAGTAACTATTCCTGATTCTGTAATAATGCTCGCGTAATAAATCGATGATACGTACAGTGGATGGAAAATAATGGTTACGTACCCAGATGAGAACGTTGAGGGAGCAGAAAACGTGCCTGATGCACGTGTATCCCGTGCGGCCCATGGCTGGAACACCCCTCGAGGTCCTCAAGGCGACAAACGGTCTGGCAGTGTTTCCTGAAAATGAAACACGAGCGACGAATCTCAAACTTCGTACGGCCCATCATTTTTACCTTCACCCGTTCTTCCACGCTCCCTGAAACTCGCGCGAAACAACGCCACCTTCGATTTTAATTGGCGTAAACGCGAATCGCACCCGATTATTCGCATATCGGCAACTTTCGCCGTCTATCCTCGCGTGAGTCACGATCGATCGTGATCGCCGCGCGAAACTCACGCCCGATCGTGACAGGGTGAACGTTTTCGATGAACAAGGCAAGGAGGAAGGTCGAACAATACGATACTTACTCGACGAGACTTACGTATTATCGTTTCGGGAGTTTGACGAGGAACGCGTGTGGTGGTAGACCACCGAGGAAATCGAAACGAGTAACAAGAGAGGAAGATAGAAGCTTTACGATTGCGTATGATTTGAAGAGTTGCGCGTAGAGAATAGACGTCTCTATTCCCCTTTCGATCGTCGATAACCTCGCGTAAATAAGAAGCAAAATTTTTTGATTCTCGAAAATAGGAAAGAAGATAAGGAAGGGAACGAATCCTCTTCAGACGTGTATGTGTACTTACAGCGAAATATTGGCGTTCACATTCTCGCTACGAAACGATTTCGACTTTTCCGCGCGTTGGTATTCGTCGATATTCGAGCGAAAGACGCGGACGACGAGAAACGGGCGTGAATTGGACAGATAAACGATACCGGTTGAGCGATCGGGCCGACCGGTTGGCAGCCGATCCTCATCGGGCGAGGATACGTTCCGGTGTGGTCGGAACCAGGTTGATACGATTGGCTGTGGCCCCTTGTGGGCCTTCTAGGTCCCCTAACGGGACACCCTGCCGACGGTGAGGCCTCTCACCTATACGCAATCCCGATCACGATCTCGTCGCTCTGCTCCATGGTGGAGGTAACACCTATGTGAAACGTGTGCTCGCGCGAAGACGTCACTTTCCTACGAACGCCCGCTGAGTCGAGTCGCTCAAGGTCGTTGCAAATCTACGCGTGTTTTCCTCTCGATCGTTATCCGATACGCGTTGCCGATTCTTTTTTTTTTTTTTTGTGCGCGCGAAAAATATCCGTGTGGTTTTCTATCTCACGAATTCTTCCATTCGATTCTCTTCTACTTTCGCGAAAAAATTACGCGTTCAAAAATTCAATCAAGAATTAGGAAAATAAGAATTTCACGGTATGGAAAATTTACATTCCACGATATCTGAATGGCGATATCTGAAATCGGAATCTCGATAAAATAACGTTCGACGTATTTTTCTCTTTTTTTTTTTTTTTTTTTTTTTTTTTTCCATGCATTAAACATGCCCTATCGCACGTGCGTACGCAACGAATCCGATCGAACCGCACATCGAGTCGCTGAATAAAAGATCCATCGTTGCGATTGTTTCTCTCCGTATTGTTCCGATCGATCGATAAAAGGAGGAGGGACTCGTTTTGTGGAATGACCGATTTCACCGAAGTTTTCGCCAAAGTTTCACCGACAAAGTTTTTCGTGATAGAATCGGTGATGGAGCACCGACTCGAGAACAGCGATTTATCCCGCGGCGCGATGCGAATTTCTCACCTGATCCCGCTCGACTGAGGAATCGAGTCTCTTTGCACAGGTGAGGCGCCTCTCGAAAAGAAAGGGGACGACGCGTGACACGACGCGTACGCTTATCTCGAACGCTTCGCCTGTCACATTCATTTTCGCGTGGAATAAACGTGGCAAAAAAAAAAAAAAAAATAGTAAAAGTATTCTGCAGAATCGCGATGCGCGTTGTTCACGCAGCGTTTTCACACGCGCGTGGAGAGGAAAACGAGCGATCGGTGCGGTCCGCGATGCAGATGGAATTTACGATCGTTCGATTTTTTCGATACTTGTTCGGCTACACCGATCGCTCGTTTAGAATCATTTTGCCTCGATAACCGTATCACGGTTGGCCTTATTCCGTGTTTCGAGCGGAAAAATCCCTTCCTCTTCCGCCACGATTCGAATGTCGTTATCAGGATAGGATAATATTGATTCTCCTTATCGCGTAACCGAACACGGTGTTGCGTGTAATACGCGATATACCACTTGTTGCAAATAGGGCTCGTTCAGCAAACGAGAAAGAAAAAGAGAGAGAGAGAGAGAGAGAGTAAAAAACGTGCTCGGGGCTGGTTCCAGGAGAATGTAAATACGTTTCGTATCCTGTTTCCGAAATAACCGACGTGAAACGTGATCGTTTCGAAACGTGGAAAATTATAGATTTCTGAAATATTGTTTCTCTTTTCGTAGCGCGCGTTCGATTATCACGACTCGTAAACGGCGCTCTTTCCAAAGAAAAATCGAATGCGAATTTTCGGTTCTTTTTTTTTTCCGATTTTTCCCATCAAGATGAACGCATAACAACTGGATTGAGACTTTTCGATAGATTTTCGATTTTTTTTTTCCATCCAAAGTAAACGCGATGCACGTTCTTAGAGAGCGAGATCAATTTCGAGTTGAATTTCCTTTTTCTTTTTCTTTTTCTTCCCGATCCCGAAAAGTAATATCCGCGAAAGTAACCGAACGAATACGTGGAAAAATCACAATGAACGATTTCTCTCTCTACCGGATAAAATATTGGATTCGAGATTCGATATTCCGTGGTGAGAGAGGTGAATCTCGACTGGATTGCTTCTCTGGCCGAAAGATCGGCAACGATGGACCAACAACGCAGCGTGGATATTCTTTTCCCCGCATTGTCGGAGGTATTGGATGGGGCGAGGAGAGGGGATTGGATATTTGCCGGGATCGATCTCGAAATCAATTCGTAAGAGCGAAATGGAAGCGTAAACGGCGCGGCTAACGAACGAGGCGAAGAGAGTGCGTGGGGGCGTAGGAACGGTCCCCCTCGTCACGACTTCCTGCCAATTGCGGACAATTTGCGATCATCTATGATCTCCCCCCTCGTCGCCCCGTCGACGAAACATGGTGTGGACGGTGCTTAAGAGTTAACGCGGCACGATTCTTTTTTCTCTTTCTCTCTCTCTCTCTCTCTCTCTCTCTCTCCTCTCTTTCCCTCCCTAATTCACATCGAGCTCCGCTCTTTCTCGCTTTACACGAGATACCGTGCCATCGGCGACGTTAACGCGTCCTACGCGGCTCACTTCCCACGTGACGTAACCGAGGAAAGGAACGACGAGCGTTGAACGTCGCGTTTCGAATACGTACGCCTATCATCATCCCTATCTCCGCTCGTGCGTGCAATTTGTGCAACGAGGCTAGTGCTCGAAACGCCCGTTTTTCCATCACTCTCCACCTGAGATGATAGCTGGAGGATCGAGATAATTTTTTTTTCCAAGTTTTTATATTAGAGATTTCCAAGAGTATTCCGAAATTTTTCGTCTTCCGATAATCCTCTGCGTGCGATTCTGGGAGTTGAATATTTTTAATTTAAGAGATTTCGAGGAATATTTCACGGTAATTAAGCGTCTGATATTGTTGAAGGTGAAGGAGAAATTCGATTGTTAAATTTCGAAAATCGAAGTTTTTAAATTAGAGATTTCGAAGAGTATTCCGAAATTTTCGTCTTCTAATAAATAATCTTCTGCGAGCGATTCTGGGAGTTGAATATTTTTAATTTAAGAGATTTCGAGGAATATTTCACGGTTCTCGTTAATTAAGCGTCTGAAGACGATATTGTTGGATTGTTGAAGATGAGGAAGAAATTCCATTGTTAAATTTCGAGATTCTTCGAAATTTTTCTTCTAATAAATAATCTTCTCCAAGCGATTCTCTGAGTTGAATATTTTTAAATTAAAAGATTTCGAGGAATATTTCAAATTTTTCTATTTTCCTGATTTGTAAATCATCCATTGAAGATCGGAGAGAAATTGTTAAATTTCTTCGAAATGAGTTTTTATGTTAGAAAGAGTATTTTAAAATTTTCCTTTTCTAATAATCTTCTGTAAGCGATCTCAAGAACCGAGGAGAAATTGTTAAATTTCTTCGAAGTTTTTAAATTAGAAATTTCGAAGAATATTTCAAATTTTTTGTCTTCATGCTTAACTTTTATGTTCCTGATTTGTATCGCTGAGAATTGGAGAGAAATGATAATATTTCTTCGAAATGAGTTTTTATGTTAGAAGAATATTTTACAATTTTCGCGTCATTTTCTAACAATTCTCTGTAACCGATGTTGCCGAGGACCTAGAAAAAATCGTTAGATTTCGAAACGAGTTTTAAATTAGAAATTTCAAGAAATATCTCGCGATTTTCCTTAATTAATCCTCCGTAGACGATATAGGTTTATTTCGAGAATTAAAAATTAAAAATTTCGATGGATATTTCAATAATCCGAGTTTGATATAAAAAACGACAGTTGCCTGCGGAGACTAAAATACTAATATACTAAAATAATAATAATGAGATCGCTATAATTGAACCAAAATTCCATGTTAATCACTTTTCAAAATAAGCCATCAAGAAAAACGCGAGGCCCATCAATTACGAAAGTATAGAGGCCAACGTCCTCCTAATTTACAACGTAATTCCTAATTTATTACAATGCGCTCGTTAATCGTGAGACGATATGCGTACACGGTTGTCCTCCCACGTGACATAACCGAGGATCGAACAAAGGGTCTTGCCCATCTTGCATCCCTTGTAATACCTCGCCACCCATACGTGACTCGTTTCCTCAACGAGGGATTACGCACAGAATCGAAAACTTCTCTCCCCTCTTCGTCTCCACAAGATGGAGAGAGAGAGAGAGAGAGAGAGAGAGATTGCCACGAGAATCGTCGTTTCGGTCGCCGTTTATAAAAACATCTCGGTCTGATCGATGGAAATCCCTACCTCTCTCTTCTTTTTTTCGTATCGGCTCGCTGAAAAGCGATCGAAGGAAGGTATTTCTCACGGGCGCGAAAGAAAGCGGATGATAACCGCGGAGCGTCGTACCGGGCGTGAAATATCCAGTGACGATTGTTCCGGGAACAGGAACATGGGAAGAGAAATCGACGTTCAGCCGGTTCGCACGATCGATTTCCTCGATTATCCGCCGCCGGGATTTATCGGGACGATCCACTGGGACATTTAATTAACGTTTCTAATCCCGGTGCGCGAGGAGAGCGGGAGGGATTACACGATTCCTTGATCCAGAAACCTGGTCTAATCGGGGGATCGTTAAAAACGATCAGCCTCTCGAACGGTGGCTGATCGACGAGTATAGCGAGTGTGCATTTCTGGGACGGGACGATTATTGACGGTGAAACGGCGAGGATATTTTATCGTGCGTATATGTCGAGTGGGAAGATATTCCCGCGATTCGAATAAATAATCATACGATTATTGGAACGATCATCGACGTGACATTCCATTGTTCGTGAACGCGAGATAGATGACGAGTGATGACAATTCGGTGGCGATGGTTTGGTCAGCTTGCCATGGCTCGGTTAGAGAAGATTGTTTCTCATCTCACGCCGCGGGAGAGGCGCGTGGGTCTGAACGGGACCAGTGTCATTGAACAATTCGTATTAGCATGATTATGAGATTCGTTTATAATCATTATTATGTAACGCATGCCCTCGATTGAGTTACGTAACAACGGTTCCATGCACGAAAGTGCGCGCGCCCCGCTCTTTCGCGGAATGTCGTGCGTTTTAAATCAAGTGTTTCGAAAAATGCTTTCAAAAAGAAAAATCGTATCGCTGAGAATAATTGGAAACTCCGATCCCATCGCGACATACTTGTTGGCAACAGATTAATTCTTCCCGTGTCGTGAATTTAAGAATCGCGTTTCTTGTCTAATGGAGACCTCGCGACGCAAAATTGCACAAAGCAATTTGCAAACACGCTTGTAATTTTCTCGCGCGAAACGAGGCGAGAAGGATTTCGTTGCGAGCCAGCCGGTTGCAATTTCGCCAGTTGTTTTTCTTTAAATTAACGGCGTTCTGCTCCGAAGGAACCAAGGAAGTTGTAAATTCTATCTTCTCCGTGAAAAAAAAGAAAAGAAAGAAGTATATATTCTACTATATTAATCGAGCAAGAAACGAAGAAGAGACGAAGAAGAACGAGACTTGATCTATCGGCTTAGGAATTTTCCTGAAGAAATTGTGTAATAGTCTCGCATAGGAGCGTGTTGATGTGTTTCGCAAAGAATATATCGTAAATGCAAATATGCCTTCCCGTGAGGAGATTCTCTTTAAAAATCATCTCTGTGCGCGAAAACTCTCTTCCTCTCTCTCTCTCTCTCTGGGTATCGACGAAACTCAAGTTTAAGGAAAAGGAAGATAGGAAAAAAGAAAAAAAAGAAAAAGTGGATCGTAAACGGCGACGATGATCGCGATTACTCGGTCGGCGTCTTTTTTAATTTATGCTTATCCACGCGGAATTCCGTAAAACGATACCATACCCATCGCCGCGTCACTCGCGAACGAGTATTGTCAACTGTCACTTTGATAAAATTGCAAACGATGACAATAAGAATTTTTCGACGTGTTCTATTTATTTATTTCCCTTCCCTTTTGTTCCCTCGTGCAAAATGAAATAATAATCGCGAGGGTTTTTGAGAATCGTCGAACGAATATTGCGGGAAAAATTCGAAGAGGCGGAAGTGCGGAGGGGCGGAAGGCGGTATTCGAAAGATATACGCAACTTACAGGTGGGATGAAAGTGAGAATGGTCCAGTGGCGCGTTGCTGACAGGAGCTGTCACGAGCTCTTCGACACCGAATGAATCACAAAGGTTCATGGAAAGCGGAGTCAAAGGTCGGCTTGCGTTCGCGACAGGTTTCGAGTACTCGGATCGACTGCACGCAAGGAGCGCGCACAACTCTCGCACATCCGTTCTCCATCGGCCGCTATTCGTGACACGAAAGTCGCCATCTGACGGCAGCGGAGATAATTTATCCGATGGTATCCGGAACAGGTGATAAACCGAGGAAAAAAGATCCACGAAGACCTTTCAATTCTCATTCCATCTCGCTTACTATATAAAAATCATCGAATTTTAATTATTTACATCGATTTCGTAGATTTCTTGAATTTAATCTGACGAGAAAGAAGTAAAATAAAAAAAAAAAGACAGTTAAAAATTTTTAAGAAATTATTCGCGATTCGATATGAAAATATGATTTGACGTCAATTGATAATCGCATATTATTTACATTACCGTTAATTACTTACAAGAAGAAACTTATTTAATATTCTTTTATCACCAATAACATAAGAAAATATACATAACTGGAGTACATCGATCAAAAGTTTTTTTAGATTCATTTGTGCACTTGTTACGCTTGTTACGTTTGTAAAATGCGTTTCGTTACTTTTTTTAAACAAATTTTATTTCTTGGATTAAATTAAAATTCTCGTCTGATTCTTTTCTCAAAAAAAAAAAAAAAAAAAAAAAAAAAAAAAANAAAAAAAAAAAAAAAAAAAAAAAAGAAAAAAGACTATTCCAACTCTAATGATTCCAAACTTTTGCTCGACGTATGTACGAATCAACAATATTATAAATAATAAAATAACAATAAAATAACAAATAAAGTAAAAAGTTAGAAAAACGAGGATCATCTTTCGTTCATCTTTGTTTCTTGTATCTCTGAGAAGATTCTTCCATAGAATTCAACCATAGTTCTAAATCTTTGGTCATTTCGGGACATTGCGCGTTTGGCTCGACTTGAGCTATTATTTCCGGGACTGGAACTTTCAGACCTGTTGTCGTTTGTTTGCTAAAAATGACCGCGCGAACGAAACCGTCCGTCAAACTAATAAATTCGTGCTCCAAGTAGAAATTCTTATCATCCCAATAAATCAGCTGTAAAATCAAACAAAAATTCATTCGACAAATAATATTTATGTAATACTATACGATACGATTGACATTTAATTTATAACGAGCAATTAAGATTTATCAAAGATAACTTATCTCACCTTCGTGGTCACTTTATACACAGTGAAAATAGGAATGGCTCGACGATATCGAATCAACGATGCTCCTTGCACCGCGCTTCCACCTTTCTTCGTGATCGCCGAATATATTCCAGATCGATCGTAATAATGGAAACGCGCGAAATCCAATTCGCGAAGATATCTCGCGTTGTTCATGTGTTTAAAGAACAAATCCACATCTTGCGTAATGCATATACCTGAAAAAAGAAAAAAAAAAAAAAAAAGGAGGAAGATAAAAAGACAAAAGTTTTAATTTCTTTTTTTTTTCGCATTATTTGTCATCGATGAAAGTAAATAAGTATTTAAATGTATTTGAACTATCAAACTATTTAAATAATTAAATATGGAAAAAATGGAATGTTTTTCTTCATTTTAATACACGTGTCGAATTCAACGTCTTTCTATTCTTATATTATATTATAATTTCAAATAATATTATAATTTCAAATAATTCCTTTGATTATTATAGAAATTTTTTCGTCATTCTCCGATTCTGTTTCGTCACGGTATTTTTTCATTCATATTCCGTACACGAGTGAAACGAAAACATTAATACATCTGTGAATATATATTATAGTTATGAATAAGTTTGGCCGGTAATCGAAGAATCATTTAAAAGTTGCTTGCCTTTGAATTCTTTTGAAACAAGGCCAAAAATGTTCTTCCGCTTTTACAAGTTCGTTTACCCGAAATTATTCCTTGATGTCGATAACAATTACGGTACGAATGTAAATCAAGCTTTAAATCATGTCACTTAAACCCGGAAATGATTTATTTAAAATTCATACATCAATTACATTAATTAACGCCAAATCCAATTCTTTTATCGTTAAAAAGAAATCCAAATATTATATTATATATATATATAATATAATATAATATAATATAATATAATATAATATAATATAATTATACGCGTGAATTTCATAGAAACAGAATTGTAAGAATTGTAGCGGAATTGTTATCAAATTTATAAAAAAAACATCGAATGTCATCGTTAAGTGAATGGTCAATATCGCGTCTAGACTATAGTAATTACAAGAAAAAATATATAAACGCATAAATCGTAAAATCGCTACGTAAAATTATATTATGGAAAAAGAAAAAAATCTGGATTATTGAGATTTATAAAATGTTAAATAATTATTACCGTAAATGGTAGTCGTGTCAAAAATCTTCTTTTTCTTCTGAAACAATCTGCCGGTAAGGATGGTAAACACGATCCTCAGGAAATAATTTACATCGAAGAGCATGTAGAGAACGAGAGCGATCGTGAGCAAGCAAGCACATGCCATTTTTCAGTTATGTTATATGTTTCAGTTCTGTAATAAAATGAAGCGAGAAAGGAGAGCAGGAATGTTTGACGTTCACGAAGCCACAGTCCGAAGAACACTACATGCTTTCAGTTACCGTGAAATTTTAAACTGAGAGGTCGCTTCTTACACAGTGAAGTATGGCACAACCGGTTTCTCGTTAGACCTATGTTCCGTTGTAATAGGAACGGTACTTGTTCCATTCGTATAACTACGAAAACGTATAATACGCGGTCGATAAATTATAATTAACGTTCAATACGGTCTATTTAAATGATCATGATATCTTCATATGGTAAATTTTGATCATTACGATAAGGGAGATTGTTATACAGAGAGAGAATGTATTCGATCGATTGTTTGGAGCGAACGATGGGTGAGTTGGTGAAATATATATTGATGATATGATATATTACGTGAATATATAAATATATCAAGAATTATATTATACAAATGTTACACAAACTAGACTAGCATATGTGAAAGAGGATAAAAATCCTTTCAAAACACTAGTCATCATAGTTCTCGATTGATGTTGCGTTTAATTAATTGAAAAAAAAAAAAAGAAAAAAAGAAAAGTAGATAAGATATCAAAAAATATATGTTTTTCGTTACACGTACGATCATATATAATTATTCGAAAACATTTTGATATGTGAATACTTTTACAAACTAAATAAGGGTTATGATGAATTTTTCATGAAATATTTATACATTGTCAAATTATGTATGCATTTCGAACGTTTTCGAAAATCACATCATTATTCGATTCGATTTTGATTCCGAAAATATTTTATCGATTATTTTTACCTTTGTTTTTAAAACAAGTAGTAGAGAAAAATAAAGTAAATGTGTTTTTTTCAACGAGAAAACATTAGCCATCTAAGGAATATTTATTCTTACTCCTGGATAATGGTATCTTTAACGACATGATCAACACAATATTATCTGACAAAAAAAATGGCACTATTATCATCTAGAAGTATAATAACGTGCCCACGTATATTCACGTGGACAATTCTATTTAGCTGTTCGAGACTCGCTACGTCGTCGGCTACTTTTCAATGACGAAACTACGAATACCGATTTATTTCGAAATTTAAATTGAAATACATCTTAATGAATTTGTTCGTCGCAAATGGCGTCGGTAACAAGGATTGTACACGATTTAAAAAAAAAAAAAATTAATCACGCGAGAGTCGCGTACAATTTCTTTTTTTTAACTCCCGATTGCCGGACGTCCTATCATAGAAAATAATAATAATAAATGCAGTAATGATAACAAATGGAATTTAAAATTACAACGACGCGTGGCAAATCGATGTCACGGTCTAATTATTCAATAATCGTAAAAAAGCGAATATCCACCACGAATTGTAAAGGCACCTGTAACACGTTATAGAAGTACTCTTCTCTCTTAACGCGCTCGTAAATATATAAATTGTTATTATTTATTTATCATCGACGAAACAGCTCCTCAGGAGAATTCTATTAATTTATTCTCTCTCTATCTCTCCCTTTCCCCTCTCTCTGTCTCTCGCGGAAATCATTACCGGCGCCAATCGCTATATGTACAATATATATACTATATAATATATATATATAATAAAAAATGTAAATAACGCCTCGCGTCTTGCGATTACTTTCAACGAAGAATATTTAACAAATGGTGCTTTTTTTTAATTTTGGAAGCTCCTTTGGATTACACATTGGTTTCGTATCTGTAACCTTGCTCGACGCCCATCTAGCAGTCCGTTCCACGGTTGCTGGACAGATTTCTCGTAAAGCATCTTGAAAATCACGGAATCTATCAAATAAATTCTGTAAATAAATTCTTCCCTCTCGTGCGAGGGATGATCACACCTTATAGTCCGATAGTCGCGCATATACTATTGCCTATTAAAATAATTTCACATCTCTGTCTAGCCTTTGTACTCTTAAATTTTTCCTTCTTTATCGTTCTTCCAAAACAATTTCCTTCCTTTTTTGACATCGGCTACGTATATATGTATATATATATGTACGTATGTATACATATTTATACACATCGGAACCACGCTAAACCAAATAACGTTAAACCAAATTTTCAGGCGGACAAATGGCAATATCAAGCTGCCCGATCGCCCCTCTTGACCATTTACGTCTGAACGTCATCGGACTCGCAATCGATAAAAGCTTCAAACTTAACGATCACCCGTAATTTGTTCACCTAAAAAATTGATTCGAAGCTATCTCGTATGCCGTTCGAGCGAGGAAACGGCTACGTGGAAGATTTCATTAACGCCTTCACGATCAACGAAAGCCAGCATCGATCGAATCTTCGACCTTAGACGGCCGTAGTCGCGTACACGGAAGTGGAGACGGCGCCATTTGTGGTGGACGCCGCGTCCTCCTTTTGTCAGCAATGCGTGGTCACTGCAGCACTCTGGCGAAGAAGCGCCGAAGAGATTTCGTTACTCTCCAACCACCTGGCGACTTCCGGTGGCATTTGCGGTCTCACGTTGTGTATCTGTAATTTAAACTTTACGTTTCCATCGATTTCACGTTACACGCTATTAATTACACGTTCATAAATTATTAATTATGCCATCTTTCACTGACCTTTCATAAATACAGACCTGTCACAAATTTTTTATCTCGTTGAAATGATGATGAATATTTTTTTACCTGTGGTGCACCCGCCTCTACGTTTTGCTTCACGCCCCGTTCCATTAGAGTACTGATGATAGTCTCGGCGTTACAGTCCAAAAGTTTTTGCCTGCATATAGCGATAGCCCTGACGAATTCATCGCTGGTCGTAATGAATCGATGCTCCATGAATATGGATTTTTCATCCCAATATATAATCTGTGAAAAATAACGATTTCACAATGTTCACAATGTGAGATAAATACGATATGTACTGTTCGTGTGTACTAAGAGAGCGTATACGGAACTGTGGAACAATTCTAAAATCTATCGGCGAGGACGAAAAGAGTCAACAAATTAATTTCCATTGTGGTCTTATCGGTTTTCTTGCAGTTATCGGGAACAAACAATTGATAATCGGCCGTGATACTCTTTACAAAAGAATCGTGAAAATTTTTTTGTACGGATTCCCGTGACGATCGGTCAAAGTACAACGAACGAACGTGAGTCCGTAATACGATTTCACGTGGAACTCGGACCCGCATACCTTAGAAGTTATTTTGAAGATGGTGAAAGGTTTCAGGAAACGACGATAACGTATCGTCGCCGCTCCTTGCACGACGCCCGACCCTTGCGAGCATATCTCGCGATATAGGTTCGTCCTTTCGTAAAAATCCGCCCTGGCGAAATCGAGCTCGCGAAGATATCTCGCGTTGTTCATGTGGGAGAGCAATGGATCCACGTCCGTCGTGGTGCAGATACCTGTGTGAAAAACAAATATTAATTTTCACGGCCGTGAAAAAATAATGGAATTAAATAAACTCTCTCGTTCGACATCATTGTAAATATTTAAAAAATGGCATATCAAACAGAAATTGCATAATCAAGGAATATTTGTATAATGCAAGAATTTTATTTAATAAGTTGGTTTTATCATTATGCATTAAATGGGAAACCAAATAGATAGGATGAATAAGAAATACAGGAAATATTACTTTTACGTTTCGAAGTATCCATTGGTAACAGAAAAAAAAAAAAAAAAATTGAAATAAATGTAAGCGGTTTCCTCGTCCAAGGACTGATAAATAAAAGATCAGTTCTGGATACCGAGCATACTAAGTATCTCTATCGAGGAATTACTTATTCCTCGTTGATGTTGCGTGTCATGTAAGCCGTGACAATGATTATGTCTTTTCGTATGAGAAATTTCTAAGAATCGGACCACCGTGTTCTCGGGTTATCGAAGGATAGAAGGGGCGCATCGAGATATCTAAACACCGTTCACATTTCGAATATTTCCCGTAATATTTTCGTATAGAATTTCACAGCACCGCGGTGAACACAATCAATACGAGGACGGATTTGTTACGAGCAACCGACCTGCCAACTGATCGCGCATGGTAGGTCAAGGTTTACGCGAATGGGCTCGAGATTAGTCGGTAAATTGTAAGGATTCTGGGCTTACGTAGTTGACAGTTGCGTACAATGCATTTTCATGGGATCTTTAATAATAACGTTTTTTTTTTTTTTTTTTTTTTTTTACGTTACGCGCTATGCTACTATATAATTCTAGCTTCAACGATGAGAGGGTAGTGGAGAGATTGTACGTTAATTTTAACGTGTTCGCAATAATTAATGTGATTGTCTAATCCTTTCCCAGGGTTAAGCAACCAACGTACCGTATACAGTGGTCTCGTCGAGGATGCGAACTCTCTTCTTGCAGAAACGCGCGAAGAACACGATGAAGAACATGCGAAGGAAATAATGGACCTCTATCACTCCGTAGAGCAACACGATAGCTCCGAATACACCGGTCAATACCCAGCAGGCTATCATCCTGATCAATCTCGTATTCCGTCCGTTCTTGGATTGAATCGGGAACAAGATCCCCGCGTGGTCAGACTTTGGAAATTCTCCACCGTTGCAAAGCCACACCCCGCTTTATCGATTCGTCGGTCGAGACGTACGGTGTTTCCTCGTTCGCTTCTCGTGGAAGGGAAGTCAGGTTGCACAATTAGCATGACAAAGGATAGCAGGTGGACCGACGTCGCATGGCGAGCAGTCCCATTATGAGACGCATCGGCACATATCCCGATCAAAGCGTCAGTCAAACCGTTTCCTTCCTTTTCTTTTCTTCTTTTTCTTCTTCTTCTTCCTCTTTTTTTTTCTTTATACGTACGAATATACCTAAAACGTGACAGATAAAATTTTAATTATCGGGAAAAAATGAATTGAAAGTGTTCGTTCGTCGAAAGAATTTTCGTCGAATTTGTTCCATGCGAAAGATTCGAGAGCGAGACGTTTTTGTAACACCACGTTGTAGAACAAACGCTCGATAGCGAGGCAACGTTGAGTGGGTAACTTTTTCCCAGGCAACGATTAGTCCGTGGAAAAATTTGCACTTAGACGAACAAAAGTTATTTCTGAAAACCATACACACACACACACACACACACACACTGAGTAAATATTAGAATAATACACGTCCGTTGTAATTGCGCGGTATTTCTCGTGCTAACCCACACATCGGGATCGTTCGTAAAATAAACTGCACATCAAAAATAGGCATCGATGAATCGTGTTGCAATGTTGCTGATCGCTATAGGCGACAAGTCGAAAGATGACAACCGAGCAAGAACAAGCAGCGACGCGATTTGGCAAACGGCAACACCGTGGCGTAACTTTTGAACGTTGAGTTTCTGGGGGAGAACGATACCGTTTACGAAAGCGTTTAAATCTTTCGTAGCGAAAGCTACTTTCGATACTTTCCCGCTCCGTCCAATTACGAGGCAAAGCACGTTTTCCTTTGACGAGCGTTCCTTCGTGAAAAACAAGCTCAAAAATTCGTCGCCGTCCATTTTTCAAAATAGCGAACGTTCTACCCTAGAACGGCACGCAACCCTTTCCATCGCGCTAGATCGTTATTCGTTTCGCGCGGTAAAGATAAAACTGTTGTCGATTGGTAACTGGTTGCGATAATCGATGATTGCACCTACCTGGCGGGTGCCCGTCAGGTGGAAATATCGAGGATGCGCGACGTCCTGTGGCTGACTATACGCGACACATGAATCCGCACATGCTTATCTACTTACACGCGCACACGCACGAGGGACACGCGCGAGGAGCACACGTAGACGGAGCAGAATTAACGGCAAGAAGTATGCGTTCGTGTCGACATCTCAGAAACTGCTGATCAACCGCGTTCCCCGATTTCGATGTCGTGGTGAGCGTTACGGGCGTCGGAACGTCCCTTTCCGAAGTCGCATCTGCGCCGAGGATTTCCAACCACGAAGCCTACCGTTCCTAGTGGGAGGCGAAACCTTGCTGCGCGTTGACGTCAAAATCCTTGCCGCCTTTTTTAATGGGGGGATCGAACTATGGTCGTGCGTTGCATAGATGTTTGCGAAGAATTATCGTAAAAAATAGAATTGGAAATGATATAATCGACCGGTTTGGTCACTTCTTTTTTTCTTTGTACACTGAGAATCCGGTTGATCGGTGTATAATTCAATACGAAATGATTTTTTTTTTTTTCTATCTACGTTTTTTCTTTTTTTTTTTATTACGTTACGGCATCGGATTGAAAGAGTGGTTCGATTAATTTTGAATGAAGAGTGAAAAAAATAAATGATATAATAAGAAAGTCGAGAAATGTAGTAACCTTGAACTTTACGAGATTCACGATGTTCGTTGATCCATGAAAGGGAAAGAATCTCTTTATAGTATCTGTATTGCTTGTACGGAAGATTCAAATATATGTTAAAAAAAAAAAAAGTCGATTTCCTCAATAATTATTAATATCGTTGGTATAAAATGTTAAAAAGGAAATCACGATACAATCTATCAACATTTATAGAATATTATTTTTTTTAGCACAAATTGTTGTATCATTGTATTCCATCACAACTTTGGATCCTCTTTTATGGGAATATTTTTATTTTTATTTTTAGAAATTTAGAATTGAAATTTCGTTTGAACGTCATTATTAAAATAGACGTACGTACTTTTTATATATTTATATAATAATAAACTAATTAATTATTGACAATTATTAGTAAATATTAACATATATGTTGACGTAATATAATATAAAAAAAATGTATACTATAAATAATCTTTTGTACAAGACCACATTTTATAAAATCTTTTTTCATAAAAAGAAAACAGAGTACGATTTTATCTTTATCGTCGAAAATTTTTTCTCGCTATTACTCTTCGTTTTTTTTTTTTTTTTTTTAAGAGTATAAAAATTTTTTTATTTCTTCGCATTACGTGAATTTACTTTACGAAATTTAACGTACGCTTTGTGTAATTGGTACGGAGGAGAAGAGCAAATGAAGCTTCATCAAACGTTATTTGAAGGCGAGACATGCACGAACAATACTATGTTACATCAAAAAGGAGCTGGTCAAAAAACGCTTTCCTGCTGATGTTTTATGGAAAACACGTGATCCGCGAACGAGCAACCACGAAATCGGCACGAATCACGAGCGAATCAATAAATAAGTCACGTACAACGTGGGAATTGCAGACGTCGTAAAATTTCTATTAGCCTACCGGAAGTTTTACCGAACAATTACATTCTACTTTTAACTTGTGCCCTCAAACATAATTATACAATTGCTTTTTTTCTACATGTTATGCGTAGAAGCAATTAGTATCGTATTATAATTTATTATATATAGTTTATTATTATAAAAAAATTATTTGTACATCATTGCTCGAAACTTTAAAAAAATATAGAAGACAAATATAAAATAATATAGAATCAATAAATAAATTAAAATATTCGTACTATATCTTTCTCGATATTCAGCAATTTTTATTTATTATTCGGTAGAAAAAAATTCCATAACGAACGGCGAATCATTTTTTTCGTATCGAGTTAATGGCAGATCGTATGGAATAGGGAAAACTGGAACACCAGGTTCTTCTTCCTTTATGGGAAACGTTGATGATCCAGTCTATAAATAATATGTATATAAATAATATGTGTTTGGAACATCTTTGTCCATGTATAAAATGTATATGTATAATAAAATTTTTACATACAATAAAGCTTGGAATAAATACAACACCTCCTTCGTAATTCATAATATAATGAGAATTTTTTCCAACCGTCCCCCATGCTGCTTTACTTAAATTAGCACTAGTGAGGACAAACCAAGGTATTCTTTTCAAATCGGGTGAGATTCTTGTATAAGTTTTTATATGAGGCATTGCTTTATCTCTGCCAGTTTGCTTGGCTTTCCACTGACTGAAAAAATTGTTAAATATAAACATATCAAATCAGTGATGTGAATAGACATTAAAAACTTACTACATGTACGATTCTATCCATTTTTGTTTTGAATGTGTTTGAAGACTGTACGGTAGACAACAAGATCCAACTCGACAATCAAAACTTCGTTTATAATTGTTTAAAGACGGATAAATGAAGTGGAAATTCGGATGACTTTTTAAACCTACTGGATTTTCTTTCGACATCGAGGATGTAATTTCTTTCTGAAGCCAAGTCTCGTAATTAGGACCTAAGCTACCAATACTCGAACTCTGAGCAACCAATGTCCATTGGGGCGCATCAGGCGGTAATTTAGCGTGTTTGGAAAGAATGGAACCTAATTTTCTATGTCCCCAAGAGTCATATTCCATATCCGTGTGTCTCCCCGGAACAGAAGCCAAAAAAAATACGTTTACCGAAGAAAAATCTGCTCTTCTTACAGCACAAGTCCATTCTGTTATACCTGGCTGTCTATATCTATTCAAATAGCGTTCTAAATCCTTCTTGAAACCCGTCGGTGATTCTCCTTCACTGGAATTTGCAGATTCTGACAATGGTGGAAGATGCGGTGATATCCAAACTCTAGTCAACAAAATTGAAGCAATCGTTTATTCATTAAGATTCTTTCCTCTTTAAAACAAATATAAAAAATAATCTTTAAATTTATTTAAAGACAGACCCTTGTGTTCTATTCTCCCAATCGTCCATGTATAAATTCGCGGTAGATACCACGACTCGTATTCCGTCATCTTTATATTTTAAAATCATAATTTTGGTATGATGGCAACCAAATTTTGTTGGCATATCTACATAAAACATGGTAACATTTGAACCCACTGGTCCTGTATCTACTCTTTCTCCGAGTAAAATGGACATATTTGTGTTTTGTTCAGCCAACATATATTGCACGTGTAGCCATCCAATATCAACCATAAAATTAATGTGGAGGCTGTTTACTATTTCTCCTAAACTAATATCTAGAATTTCAGGAAGTGTTATAGAAAATGCTTGATCGTACGTTTCTCTTGATCTATTAATTGTTGAAAAAAATATATGATACGGTGCTGAACAAGCATATTTCATGGCAAAATTTCCTGGCTCAACCAAAGACGATAAACATGTTTCATATCCATGCTTCTTCATCATTTTAATTGCTTTCTCTCTTGTAGATTTGCACGATTGAAATACTTTTATCAAAGATGGTTCTTGTGATTGCTCTTGACTATTTCTAGAATCATATTTTTCATCTGTTTCAGCATGTTTGCTATGACTTGATTTTGATTTCTTATTATGCCTTTCATTATCTTGAAAATCACTATTATCTCTCTTTTTTTCTTGAGAAGAATTCTTCTCTATGCTTTCTTCTATTATTTTAAGACTATCTAAATCCTCTTTCATTTTAGAAACTTTATACTGATCCTTATTTTTTTTGTCATTGGAAGCTTTAAAAAGCGCCTCTGCTTCTTCATCCATATCTTTCAATTTATTTTCTCTTCTTTGAAACATTATTTGCTTATGTTTTTCTACTTTATCTTTTAAATCTTGACTATTCATAGTACTATTTTCATTTTTCATTTTTATGCTGGTATTACTTAGTTTAGAATTTAATTCTTTGATCGAAGAATCACTTCCTGCTTTTTCTCTTCTTAATATTATTTGTAAAATCTTCAATTGATCCAACAAGAGAGATCGATCAGAACATTCAAAATCAAGTTTTTCAGGTACTTGTATTTCACCTTCTAACTGTTTTTTTACAATTGTTTCTACTGAAATGCAATATATACTGTTCTTTATCACGATTGAACTTGACTTATTAGATGCATATCACCACGATTATCTCATTAATCAGATCAATATTAGATTAAAAGCAAATAGTACGTACAATGTGGATGTGACATTTCATTGAAATGAATCGGATTTCTTCGATAGCATTTTTCCATGTAAGGACACGGTTTCTTTTCTGGAACTTGTACGAAATAACATAATTTTTTAAATTGTGAAAAATTAAATCTTAACCTTAAAATTAATCGCATTTTTTTACCATTATTAATACAAAGACTTGTTGCCATTCTATACTTTTATTTAATTCATAAAGAACGTTGTTACTGAATAAATAATATTAGATTTAAGATTTTATATGAATTAATTACACGTAATACTGTTAAAATTTATTCCTACGAATTATTCTTTCAAATAGCTGACAAAGACGACTAGATGGTGCTGTAATCGATGTGGCGCAAGTGTAGTTCAAATCGAAATTAGTCTTGATCTAAACTTCTCAAGAGTAGTGCGTCTGAAAAATCGTTTTGAAGAAACGATATGGAAAATAATGTGAATTAATATAAAGTGTTGCTATTACAATTCTTTACAATATATTTATTTGTTCGTGTCAAGTTGGAATAATACAAATACGTAACATTATGTGTTCAATTTTTGTCTTAAATGATTATATATTTCTCGAGTTTTTATGAGCGCCAAATTTATTAATCAAAATGGCGGGAACACGTTCAACACGGTTTTTCGTTTCGTCTAATCAATCATCAATCAGATTTGAGATGTTTTTAACGTCGAACAATCGAAAATCAAGAAACAAAACAGGTAAGTCGATAAATTTAATCAAATAGCACGATATAAAATCATAAAAAAGAAACCGAAATTCGAATGATTTATTCCGATCGTCTTAAGAATCTTAAATACGAGATATTAGAACGAACGTCTCTCGATAAAAGAATCGAGGAAAAATAAATCGTGAGAAAGAACGATATGGCCTCTCACGGGGAAAGGATTAAGAGCGTCTCGACGCGTAACAACGCGTCCTTAACCGATCTGGTATCGAGCACCAGAGTTAAATTTCAACGAGCAAACTTACCGACCGCATCTCGGCGTACTTGATGCTCCGCGAGCGCCACTTGGAAGAGAATTGTGTCGATGCATTTCCATTTTTGCAAGAACAATTAACTGCCGTGGAAAGAATCGCGAAACAGATTTAAAAATTGGTTCGCTTAATATGCATGCGCATAATTTAGGAACAGCCATCGGTATTGAACTGATTAAATTAAAGTCACATCAGTGGGAATGTTTTCGACCGCCATTCAAGGATGAGGTTGTCCGGAGAAAGAGATTAAAAAAATTCATCGATTTAAAACATCTGCAAATTTACATGATTTGATTAAAAAAATCGCGAAAGTGAATATTTTGCGAATAGACTACTAGATGAAAGAGTTTGAATTTTTTCGTCAAGTGTTCATTGATATAAAGATTAATTCTTCGCTCGTTCATATAGACGTAAAATTACTTATACTCTTTATCAAAGTAATTAATTCTTTCGTTTCGAATAATACATATTCTCTTTATAACGTTAAACTGAACAAATGAAACGAAAAACTTTTCCAAATACTTTGGCAATTATTATGAAATTTAAAAAGATTAGCTTTTTTATTCATCATTAATTTTTTTAAACGCTTACTCGTTACAATCATGCCTGAATCGAATAAAAATTAATCAAATATATTCACACCTAAACATTTACACGATTTCTCCTAAAACATTTACACGTTCAGTAACAAACGAGACACTTTATTTTTCTCGGCTGCTCGCATTTTTCATCTTTCGCAGCATCGATTCTCGTTATCCCGCGAAAATCTTATTCTCGTTATTCATTTTATTCTCAACACTGTCTGTTCATTTTGCTGGAGAACGACGCGGATAGAATTAACGAGAAAACGAAAGAGGGACAAGCTTATTCAGGAGATTGCCGACTTTCTGGACAGTTTGGACAGAACGAAGAAAAAAGGCGACAGGAGTGGAGAAAATTGAATTACCATTGATTCGCCTTCCAAACTTCTTCTTCGTGATTCCCATCGATGCGGCAAATTGAACATTTTAACTTATCAAATATTCCAGTCCCGTGTATACTTAAACGACATACGTAAACATCGTGATTTTCACATTATAAGCCCTTCCTGATCGTTTGACGATAAAACTTAAACACCATTTAAGATTATTAGCCGTTGAAGGGGACCGGCGATACATTCTCATAGGGAGCCGTACACGAACGTACGATGGGGAACGAGGCGCCATAATCCTTATCACCGGTCGTTCCACGTTCCCGTGTGCCGTTTCGTGTCGTTTTCTAATTCGTTGGTCGGGAACGGGAACATTATGAAAACGATTTGCGGGGGATTTCCTCGTTCAATATCGAGGATTAAAGGAATACTCTCGTAGGAGGGAGTGCGTATATACGGAATAAATAACAGCAGCGCGTCGAATGTCACGCGGTGGAAGGTGGAAGGCGGACAACGGAACGACCGAAAAGTGGTCAGGCTTGCAGGATGTGAGGAGAAGGGGTGGGAGAGATGCCGTGCGTCGAGACGCCTCGATCCGCTCAGTCACCGCCCAGACCGCGCCGCGAGCGATCCATCCGCCGTGGCTTCCGCGTGTTTACACCGGTTCTCGCGCGTCTGTGACTCTCGTCTTCCACAGTTATCGGCCAGTTTCGCCTCGCTCGGATGCCCGGTGCCCGGATAAACTTTGCCGGTGGCGTTTACGTGCGTACACGTGCACGCGTATTCTTCCACCGTTTCCGCCTTTTTCATTCATCAAGAAAGATTGGATCAGTCGGTCCACCGCGTCGATCCAGACTTGGTCGCGTGCAGTGATCTCCGGGACAGTGATATCGATCACGTGAACTGCGGTGTAGTGGTGAGTTGGTGGCGTGGTGGAGTCGGTCGGGATCGCACATCCTGTGGAAAGCGGTTTCCTCTGGAGGCAGTCAGAAGGCAATCAAGATTCATCGCAGCCCGGAAATGCGAGAAAGTCAAGGTCGTTTTATTTACACCGTTACGTACCGCCGATCCCTCGTCAACGGCCGGTTTCGCGCCAGCAAAACGGAAGTCTCGTGAATCAGTCTTTATTTTGGATCGTCGTCGTGTGTTGTGCGCCGTAATCTTTCTTCTTGTTTACGCGCCCTTTCGCCGGCCGCTTCTCTTCGCGATAACAAATTTTTTTTTTCTCTTCTTCTTCTTCTTCTTCTTCTTTTGAAAGAAGCTGTTTCGTTTTCGAAGGAGGACAAGGAGGAGAAAGAAGTTGAATGGGAATAAGATCGAGAGTATCGACATCGGGGGACGGGAATTCGAATCAAATTATAACCTAACACGGTGAGAATCCCTCTCTTAACCTCGATGTTTCTCTCTCTCTCTCTCTCTCTCTTTCACTTTCACAGTCTCTCGATTCATTCTGATTCTTAAAAAAAAAAAAATCCTTTCATATACGACTAATTGCTTTCAATTTTTAAAAGCTTCCCCTCGAAATTGGTGGTCGGTTTTGTTTATAAAACGGAGGAATTAGAACGAAAGGAATTAAAATTTAAACTCGTTACTCGTTGTAATGAAAAGCGCGCGGGTTTTCGCAATAATATTTCGTGAATAATATATTTCCTAATCTTCATCCTCAAAAGAATCAGCGTCTGATCTCGTCCTCGATCGATCGTCACTAATTTTTACACGAATGATCCCGCGTTACACTCCGCTCCCCAAACTTTTCTCTTTCGTTTTCCAAACAAATCGTTTTACAAATCAACTTCGAAAACCAGTCTCGTTCTTCGTTTAAATCTTCGTCCATTCGAGGAAAATTTGACGCGAGGTAAATACGAAAAGGATAAGACTGTAACGGTAATCGTAACAACGAAAGTTAACTATTGAAATAGAAGAAATAGCTTTAATTAATTTCGAGTATTTAACCAGTCGATATTTCGCGAAGCTTTTCGATTACAATGGAAATTGTATCGAATATGTGTACGCGTGTATGCGTGTAAAAAACGAGATGATTAATCACAGTAGTGAAAAAAAAAAAAAAAAAATACGCGAGAAATGATTTCAAATGTTCGATGAACATGGAACGCTACGCGTCGAATTGTATTTCATCATTGTTTATATCAAAGATTATCGAGATACGATCGAAAGAAAATCGCGTTATGCCGCGTGCATAGAAAAATAAACCGCGATTTCGGCGAGTGAAATATTCGGTGTGAAGTCGAGGGTACTCGGCCGAATAAAAATATTATTCGTTGTTGTGCCGTTCGACGAAAACCATTCCCTCCCCTCCTCCCTACCTACCTACTGTAATTTGTAATTTAACGACGATCTCATAGATTTAAAACGATTCGTGCCACCTATTAATAATGGATTAACCGGCATTAGAACAACGGTCTCGTTAATCGCTCTAATAAATCACAAATCGAATATCTCGTGCAATCCGATTCATCGAGGATAAATTATTTTTGCACTTTATTCTTATCATTATTTCATTTGTATATACGAAGAGATATTTCCACTTGTGTGTGATTTATTACTACACCCTTACGACGCACCGATTAGAAAAAATCCGAGCCATTGCTCGTTTCGAATTCGTGCGATTGTTTATCAAAGTTTTTATATCGTTCGAAGAAAATTAAATTTGCGCTCGTTCTTTTTTTTTTTTTTTTTTTTTTTTTTCGCCAAGAAAGTTCGTTAACCGATATATCGGGAAGAAAAAAAAATATCACTTAGAGGGGAAGTCTTTGTGAAGTGGATTTCAGCGCAGAGATGTAAAGTGCTTTCTTTCTTGAAAAGTTCCAGCTCGAAAGTGGCCACGAAAGAGAAACGAGGGGGGAAGAGAGAGAGAGAGAGAGAGAGAGAGAGAGAGAGAGAGAGAGAGAGAGAGAGAGAGAGAGAGAGAGAGAGCGTACGAGAGAGACACTCGAGTCTTCATTCAATGCTCTAAACGGGACATTCGATGATTTCATGAATAATAAACCGTTAACGACAATTAATTTTTGCATAACCAACCGATAATTCTTCAGACAGCTGGAGAACGCTGGCATTGAACCGGAGAAATCTTCTCGAGTGGCTCTCATTCTTAACTCAACAAAGGTCTCTGAATGTTTCTTCTCCTCGATGCTCGTGTATTCGAAATAAAATTTTACTTAACAGTAATCCCGATTAAACAATTGAGAGAGAGAGGAGGATTGAAAAATGAATTGTTTCGCAGTAAATACGGAATTACAATGCTCTGCGAAGAGTTATCGTTATTG